GGAGAAAAAATTTTAATAAAGTATACTGCAGCAAATCTATCATTAAAATATAAAGAGAAATTGCGTTCCAGGTAAACAGAAATTTAGAAAATTTATTGCTTGCAGGACCATCTTACATAAAATTCTAAAGAAAATTATTTATCTGGAAAACAGGTTAACTCCAGGTGGCAATTTATGTCCACACAAACAAAAAACATCATTAAATGTAATTATGTAATTCAAGATGATTAAAGCATTTGCTCCTTTCCCCTCTTTTTTGAAAAATAATTATAGAAAATACATATGTAATGAATTATTGGAACTCTGACATAGAAATGTATTATGTGTACAATATATTTGTCAATATTTACACCAGAAGGGGAGATTAGATCAAAGCTCTACTGGGCTAAGGAAATGAATTAAATGACTTATGGAAAAAAATTTCATGATGGCTCACCAGTTGCCCCCCACGAGCGGCTCTCCAGCACGGCCACAGCCCTAGCAGCACAAGGACTTAATGCAGAACCCAGCATCTTGGAGCAGAAAAGTGAATGGACTATGCGTTAATCCAGGCCATCAAGTCTGCCGGAGGGGAAAGGGTGTTGCCCCATTCATCCTCTCTTCTCTGGAAAGAAGGATGGCGGCCGCATGGGAGCCTTGTGGACAGCAGGTATGAGCCGGGGGTGTGGGGGCGACTAAAACCTCATGGGAAGGGGGGTGTTCTGGTCCGTCCTTCACACCCTACCGAGGTCACCAGTTGCCCCCCACGAGCGGCTCTCCAGCACAGCCACAGCCCCAGAAGCACAAGGACTTAATGCAGAACCCAGCATCTTGGAGCAGAAAAGTGAAAGGACTATGCATTAATCCAGGCCATCATGTCTGCCCGGAGGGGAAAGGGTGTTGCTCCCTTCTGCCCTCCTCCCTCTGGAAAGAAAGATGGCGGCCACATGGGAGCCTTGTGGACAGCAGGTATGAGCCGGGGGTGTGGGGGCGACTAAAACCTCATGGGAAGGGGGGCATTCCGGTCCGTCCTTCACACCCTACTGAGGTCACCAGTTGCCCCCCGCGAATGACTCTCCAGCACAGCCACGGCCCCAGAAGCACAAGGACTTAATGCAGAACCCGGCAGCTTGGAGCAGAAAAGTGAACGGACTATGCGTTAATCCAGGCCATCATGTCTGTCCGGAGGGGAAAGGGTGTTGCCCCATTCGCCCTCTCCTCTCTGGAAAGAAAGATGGCGGCCACATGGGAGCCTTGTGGACAGCAGGTATGAGCCGGGGGTGTGGGGGCGACTAAAACCTCATGGGAAGGGGGGCGTTTCGGTCCGCCCTTCACGCCCTACCGAGGCCACCAGTTGCCCCCCACGAGCGGCTCTCCAGCACGGCCACGACTCCAGAACACAGAAACCAATTTCTTAACTCTCTGACTTTCAGTAGAAATACTTCCAGGGTCAATAAGTAAAATAGCAGAAATCCAAAACCAACATTTAATTCTTGAACCCAGCTGTAGAAAGCAAATCACTTCACAATGCTTTTTCAGCATGTCTGATTTGGGGGGGGGTAGGTAAACTGTAAATAATAGTGGTGAATCTTTTATTGAAACAATGAATCTAATCAAAGCAGATAGAGTGTTAACTAGAATTCATCTGCCTCACAGGGACTGGGAGGGGTGGGGGTGGGGTTTTATTGGGGTTCTTCATGGTAAAAAATAAGTATTGGTAAAGGGAAATGTGTTTGATATTTGCATGACTGAGACCTAAATCTGAAATCTTTGTAACCTTTCCCACAGTGATTCAATAAATAAATAAATTAAAAAAAAATTCATGATGGCATAAACTAGAAATAAAGCTAGAAAAACTACATTAAAACTTCAAAACTAAATAAAATATCCACTACTAATTATAATCATATGTAGATGAATGAGCAGTTTTATATAGGTAACAACATGATAAAACATAAAAATTTGAACAAAAGATCACACATGCCAGTCATGATATATTACTATTTGCATAACATTTAAAAACACCGAAATTGGGCTGGGAATATAGCTCTAAGGGCTGGAGGTGGCTCTAACTCTGTTCTCCACCACCCCAAATAGGAAAAACAGTTATACTGATAACTGAGGAAAATACTGAGTTATGGCAAAAGTCTAGAACAACTACATTTTCATAAACAGTTGTTGGGAATCACTTGAGAAAATGTGTGAATAATATCTATTATAGATGACAATACACATTGTCAACTACCCGAAATTCCATACTTAGGTATGAAGCCAGCATACAGTGCATTCAACAAAATATTTGTACAACAATATTCATAGCAGCACCACCTACAATAGCAAAAATAAAAAAATGGAAACTATGAAAATCCTTGAATAACAGACTAAAGACATGTGACACAATGGAGAAAAGACATTTTGCATTGCTTGTGTTCTTTGAAGCACTATCCACAATAACCAAAATCTGGAAACAACCCAAGTGTCTAAGAACAGATGAACTGGATAAGGAAGTTATTGTGTATATATACAATGGAATATTACTTGGCTAGCGATAGCACAGCGGGTAGGGCGTTCGCCTTACAAGCGGCCAACATGGCCGACCTGAGTTCAATTCCTCCGCCCCTCTCGGAGAGCCCGGCAAGCTACCGAGAGTATTCGATATGCCAGACACAGTAACAACAAAGTCTCCAATGGAGACGTTACTGGGCCCGCTTGAGCAAATCGACGATCAACGGGAGGGCCTTTACCTTTACCTTTATAAGGAAAGATAAAATTATGCACTTTGCTGCAACATGAATGGATCTGGAGAGCATCATACTGAATGTAGTTAGAAGGAGAGAGACAAACCAGAATAATCTTCATAGGTGGGCCATAATAACATAACAGTGAGATAAAAGATAGCCAAAGGTGATCAAAGAACATGAGAACTGGTCTTCAGTAGGAAGCTTGCCACATGGGCGTGGGGTGGGGAGATTAGACAGGAAGGGGAACAGTACAACAAAGGTGGAAATGTGCAAGAAACCCTTTCAGCGGCAGTACTGTAAATTGCAGTGCCAAAAGCTTTTCAAAAGCGCGTCTCACTGAGGCAGGCTGGTGGATGGGAGGAAAATGGCGGTACGGGAAGGGCACTGGTGGAGGGAGGTGGACAGGGTGAAGGGATTGGTGTTGCAATATTGTATGCCTGAAACCCAATTATAAATAACTTTGAAATTCATGGGCTGGAGCGATAGCACAGCGGGTAGGGCGTCTGCCTTGCACGCAGCCAACATGGCCGACCCGAGTTCGATTCCTCTGCCCCTCTCGGAAAGCCCGGCAAGCTACCGAGAGTATTCGATATGCCAGACACAGTAACAACAAAGTCTTCAATGGAGACGTTACTGGGCCCGCTCGAGCAAATCGATGATCAACGGGAGGGCCTTTACTTTACTTTACTTTACTTTACTTGAAATTCATGGTGCCTGTATTAAAAAAAAATTTTTTAAGAAAAAAGTATGACATTCATACAATGGAGTAATATGTGAAAATGAAGATACAAAAGTAGCCAATAATATAAATGAATCTCACAAATAAAATATTGAATAAAATAAGCTTTCAAGGAATGTATGTTTTGTATATATGCATACATGTATATAAATATACATATATACAAATATATACACATATACATACATACATATATTTCAAAAATATATCTCAAATAAACTTTAAAAGTAAAGTAAAGTAAAGGAGAGCCCGGCAAGCTACCGAGAGTATTCGATATGCCAGACACAGTAACAACAAAGTCTCCAATGGAGACGTTACTGGGCCCGCTCGAGCAAATCGATGATCAACGGGAGGGCCTTTACTTTACTTTTAAACTTTAAAAACTGAACTCGGGCTAGGAAGATCGCTCAAAGTGTTGAGTACATATTCTACATGCAGGAGCCCTGAGCTTGATTCCCAACATCAAATGATGCTCAAGTGCTGCCCGGAGCAGCACTTTCCAGTCTCCTCACTGGGAGTAGCTTGAAGTACTGCGTGGTGACATCTCCCTGTGTAAACCAAACCAAGGATTTTACAGTGAAATCTCATAGTGTGCAATTGTTTCCTTCGATAGGATAAGGCGACTCTTGAAAGGAACTCTGGAGATGCTCATAATTTTCTTTGTCTGAATCTAAACGCTAGTATTGAGTATTGAGTTCGTGAAAATTCAGTGAACTGCACTTTTCTGGATGTTTGTTTTACTTCAGTGCAAATTACGAAAAGTAAATGCTATTGCATGGGGTACCATTCATAACATTTTACACAGGGGAAAGAAAATAATTATTGAGGTCAAGATAATGATTACTGTTAGAAAGAGGAAGAGATGATTATGAGACAGAGGGGCAAAGGGGTGAAATCTGCCATGGGAAGAGTTGTCTGGGGTTGCTGTTGGTGTCCTAATTTTTTACAGCAAATGTCATTATAGGAATATTTGCTTTGGGGTCTGAGAGATAGTACAGTGGAAGGGGCACTTGCCTCGCTTGATGCTAGTGTGGGCTCAATCTCTATCACCCCACATGATCCTGGGTTCCAGGAGTGATCTCTGAGCTCAAAGCCAGAGGTAAGCCCTGAACACTGCTAGGCGTGCCTACCCCCAGAAGGGAATATTTGATTTATATTATATAACTATGCAGTTTTGTACTAATTACACTTCTGTTTGTGTTCAATTTCATAATTCAGAAGATTAAAAATTAGCCAAAATTATTATAAATAAGAAATAGGTGATGGGTTGAAAGTATTTATTAATAAATTGCTAAATGGGAAAATAGTTTCTTTTAAAAGTCAGTCATAAAATATTAAATAAACCAAACTGTATCTCTGAATTTTTCTTAATATTATTATGCATTACTTGTATAAACCCTTTTGTAATTTTTCATGTTTATCCTGTCTCAAAGCATACTTACCTTTGTGTCTACTACTTTTGTTTTTACTTTTTAGGATCTGTTATTCAGGAACTCCATCATTTTTTACTTATTTCATTTTAAATAATCATTTTTCTCCAGGTGTTTGATATGGAAGGAGTTGATGTCACTCCCAGACCTCTATTCTATTCAGACCCAAGTGTAGCGGCAAAGCCAAACAAGCTACTGACTTCACAGGAAGGATCAACTTCATCTGAATTTATATCCTCCTATAGCCTTTATCAGAACACAATGTATCCTAGTATGTTAGGGCAGTTCACAAGGTAGAGTTGATTGTTCCATGTTTCCTTTTTATTAATCTATAATGCCTCTTCTCAGGCACCGCAGGTATGTGACTTTTATGTTCACGTCCCCTTCCTATTGAGTTATCTGTTCTCTTACCCTGGGCTGGAGTGATAGCACAGTGGGTAGGGCATTTGCCTTGCATGCAGCCCACGCGGCCAATCCAAGTTTGATTCCTCCGCCCCTCTCAGAGAGCCCAGCAAGCTACCAAGAGTATCTCACCCGCACGGCAAAGCCTGGCAAGCTACCCGTGACGTATTCAATATGCCAGACACAATAACATATTGTTTGGCATATTTGCCAAACACAGTAACAAGTCTCACAGTGTTACTGGGCCCGCTTGAGCCAATTGATGAACAACGGGAGGACAGTGACAGTGACAGTTCTCTCACCCTAATGTATCATCTCTGTGTGAATCTCATGCTTTAATCCTGTATATCATTTTTAGTTTTATTTTGGTTTTGTTTTGGGTCATACCTGGCAATGCTCAAGGGTTACTCCTGGCTCAACACTCAAGAATTACTCCTGGTGGTGCTCAGGGAATTCTGTGGGATGCCAGGGATGGAACCCAGGTCAGTCTCGTGCAAAGCAAGCACACTATTCCCTCTGGCCTCTCTCTGCATCTCTTAAGAGTTCCCCTATACTCAAACCAAAGCGTTTATGAAACAATATTTAGATTTTCCTAAGCATGTCTTGAGGAATGAAAAGGTAGGGGCTAGCATCATATAACCACCAACATGTTTATTGTTTTATTAATGCTTCTTGTATGGGAAGAATTGTCATTCCTTACTAACATCTACATTCTCCCCCTGTGAATTCCTGTTCTTCTGGTTTCTTTCATCTCTCTCCCTCTCTCTCTCTCTCTCTCTCTCTCTCTCTATATATATATATACACACACACACACATATATATATGTGTGTTTGTGTGTGTGTGTATTTGAATAAGTGAAATCCTATGCTTTAAAAAAATTATGTATGTACTTATATACTGATGTTACAGTAATGCTTACAGTAGAAGTTTAGATAGGATAGCCTAAAACAGGCTAAAGCTTATAGGTAGGGTTATAGTTGAATGCATGAATTTCAGTCCGATAAGTGGAAAGTTCCATATGTTAACTAAGCAGAAGATTTTAGGAGAAAATAAGCTGTGCTGGAGTCTGACTCCAAATTTGCATATGGAAGACAAAGGGGCTGTCTGCCAAACAAAGGCTATTCTAATAAACTGTTTGGATCCTTTGGGAAAACAGTTGAGACTGTAACTAAAAAGGAAAACATGGTATATGGTATTGTGGAGAAAAGTTGATATGATTTAAAAAATTTATAATCTTCAATGTATTGATTGTCCACCACTCAAATCAAATTTCTTTCAACTAAACATTGAGAACATTTTTCTGAAGTTGAGGGACTGAAGCAATAGAATAGTAGGCAGGGCATTTGTTCTTCATGTGGCCAACCTGGGTTCAATCCCACTACACTATATGGTCTTCCCAGACCTGTCAGGAGTGATCTCTGAACACAAAGCCAGGAGTAAGCCCTGAGCATCTCCAGGTGTGGTCATCCCCCAAAATTAACTCAATGTTTAACTCATTTTGTTTATCACCATTGCTTATGTGATTGTAGTATTTGATTATTCTGATAACATATTTCGATATTTAATGGCTCAAAAACAAATGGACTAAATGAATCATGTTTTTATTTGTTATTATTAAAGATCAATTTTAGGAAGTTCGTTTTCTAAGTCAACTGCATCAACTATTGAGTCAGATGACCTAGAAGAACCATCTTTCAAACGGGAAGGATTACCTAGTTTTACAGGTAATAAAAATGATAACTTCAATAGCAGATACAAATGTTTTCTTTTATTTGAAGTAAAAACATTTTATTTGGAGGTTTTTAGGAAGGCAAAGGAGGGAAAGAAAGTGAGAGAGAGTAACACATTCAGGAGAGAATGTGGGCTTCTCTAAAGGCAGAGAGATCCCCTATACCCATCCCAGCATTAGATATGGAAACATGAAAGTACACATCTCAAGAGGGGCAATGTGGGTGCCACATGTGCTTGGCCTGTGGGCATAAGTAGCTACGTGCCCACAAATGTTTCCTAGTTCTACCTCCTGAGGGATAGAATCAAAGACATCTCAGTAGCAACAGCAACAGGCATACCTGGTAACCAGAGAATAATTTTAAGGACATTTCTTGAAATATATGAGATGTACAAAGCAGGAAATAAACAAGATGAATCAAAATCAACAAGCACAAAAAATAAGCAAAAATGGGAATTGACTGAATGCATTGGACACGGTGGCCAACAGAAAGAGCTCCCTGTTGGTCAAAAGTGAATCATTGTCAGCAACAAAATGAATCATGGAATATAATATTCTAACCTAAGGTGTTATATTTAACCAGAAGTCCATTTTTATATAAATAAGTGAATAAAAGTGAATAGAAGTATCTATGGGAGAAACAGACAAGCTCTAAAAAGTTTCTGTATGTAGATATTCCTCATGAAGATGGAGTTTAACTATGTCCTGTTACAGAGTTTGACTTAGAGAGTCCTGAGCAGAGGGGTACAGAAGAGAAACCTGACATATATGAACACAGATCAATTTAACATCATTAGTGGCAATTCATGATGCAAGCACACGCTTTTGATATGCTAGGAAGAGGTTCTTTCTCTCCACAACTATCTCCTAGATATCCATAATTCCTGTCCAACACCAAACCCAATTTGAAGACCATTCTTCAAAATACAATCCCCTTAAAAACTCTAGGCAAGTCTGAAAAACAATCTGGAGATGTCTAGAGACAGGCTGACTATGTGTGTCTTAGATTATTAGGTCCTAGAACTGGAAAAGGACAATAGAAAACCATAGAAATTGGGATAGAGTAATAAATTATGGGCTTTGATAATAACAAAAGGTTGACACTGGTTTATAACTTATGATATATGTACCAGAGTAATATTAATCACTATCACTGTCCTCCCGTTCATCAATATGCTCGAGCGGGCCCAATAACATTGTGAGACTTGTTACTGTGTTTGGCATATTGAATACGTCATGGGTAGCTTACCAGGCTTTGCCATGCGGGTGAGATACTCTTGATAGCTTGCTGGGCTCTCTGAGAGGGGCGGAGGAATCAAACTAAGGTTGGTCGTGTGGTCTGCTGCAAGGCAAACACCCTACTCATTGTGCTATTGCTCCTAGGAGGATATAAAGAAATATTTGTAATATTCATGTACGTTTTCTGTGTATGTAAGTAATTATCAAAGAAAAAGTCAAATGTTAGGGATGAGGAGTTATATTCAAAGGACTAGAGCACAAACTTTGCACACAAAGGCCCATGTTTGGTAACCTCTATGAAGTTCTCTAAACACCACTGGGAGCAACCCCAAGCCCTATACTGGTAAAGCACCCAAGTATCACTGGTTGGAACCCGAAAGCCACACAACCAAAGAGCTTAATGTTAAAAAGTGGATGGGTGTGAGTTTCAGCAATCTTCATCAAACACTCCAGATTTGAACACATACTAAATTTTGAAAATCACGGCTTTACTTTTTTTGTATTGTGTCACACCCAGTAATACTCAAGGGTTACTCCTGGCATTGTACTCAGGAAGTTTTCCTGGCAGTGCTTGAGGAACCATGTAGGATGCTGGGGGTCAAACCCAGGTTACCCAAGTGCAAATCAAATGCCCTACCTGCTGTACTATTGCTACAGGTCCAGGAATATTGCTATCCTTACTAACCAACATTAGTTATATGGTTAAAATTTGTTAATTGAAAAGTATGTACTAAAGAGCATTTATGTGCAGATATTCTTTGGATAGTCCCAGAGAACAAATGAAAGAGGTAGATGTATCTTGTGAACTTGATTTGATTTGATCAAGTATCTTGATGTGAACATAAAAGACTTTTAATTTTTTGATTCATATTAGGTTACTTCCCAATAATCTCAGAAAAGTGAAAATATCTTTAGTCAAAAAAACCTCATCATTAGTCAATACACCTGACCTACCAAATATCATAGTTTAGATGAGATTAGTATAGCTTAAATATACTCAAGGCATTTATATTAGTCCACAGCTGGGCAAATCATCTAACAAAAAGATTATTTTACAATAAAGTGTTGAAAATATCAGGCATACATGAGTGTTTTGTAGACATGATGGGAGGCAAGAACCCAAAACATGATATCCAAAATATATTGACTCCACACAATCAATTATTTCTTGTCTCTTTATTACCTATTGGGGCTGGAGCAATAGCACATCGGGTAGGGCATTTGCCTTGCACGCAGCCCACACGGCCAATCCAAGTTTGATTCCTCCGCCCCTCTCAGAGAGCCCGGCAAGCTACTAAGAGTATCTCACCCGCACGGCAAAGCCTGGCAAGCTACCCATGACATATTTGATGTGCCAAACACAGTAACAACAAGTCTCACAATGGAGATATTACTGGGCTCGCTCCAGCAAATCGATGAACAACGGGAGGACAGTGCAGTGCAGTGTTTATTACCTACTCAACCAAATCCAAAATGTCTCAGCCAGGAACCTCTGTCCTTAGAGAAATTTTTTAAGGACCTTGAACCTTTGATCAAACTAAAAGCTTGATGTGAACTATTTGCATTACATTATTTGCATGGATATTATATGCCTTCTTTATTTGTATACATATATATGTGTATATATATATACACATATGTATGTATGTATGTGTGTATATATACACACACACACACACACATATATATATATAAAACTTTACTATTTTAAAGGTAAAGGCCCTCCCGTTGATCCTCGATTTGCTCGAGTGGGCCCAGTAACGTCTCCATTGGAGACTTTGTTGTTACTGTGTCTGGCATATCGAATACTCTCGGTAGCTTGCCGGGCTCTCCGAGAGGGGCGGAGGAATCGAACTCGGGTTGGCCATCTTGGCCGCTTGTAAGGCGAACGCCCTACCGCTGTGCTATCGCTCCAGCTATTTTATTTTCGTTTTGGACCTATACCCACCAGTGTTCAGGGACTCCACTAACCTGGCTCTATGCTGTTTCTGTACTCAGGTGTTACTCCTGCTGCTGCTCAGGAATCCATATGTGGTTCCTGGATTCAAATTAAGATCCTGGCCACAGCTGCATGCTGAGCAAGTGCCTTAACCTTTGTACTATCGCTCCAGTCTTTATTTGTATATTTAAATAGAACTTCCATGAGAGACTCTTTTTAGTTCCCAGGAAATATGATTAGAGATGGGCTGTAATTCAAATTAAATGACAACTAAGGACAGACAAAGAACAAAAGGTGGTAGTTAATAGGCTAGACTCAAAGAAGGGCTTATACCATGTTTTAAGACTCAAAGAAGAGACTATACTATGTTTTAAGACTCAAAGAAGGGTGTATACCATGGTTTAAGACTCACAGCAGGGGGGGGCTGGAGCAATAGCACAGCAGGTAGAGCATCTGTCTTGCACATGGCCGACCCGGGTTCGATTCCCAGCATCCCATATGGTCCCCTGAGCACTGCCAGGGGTAATTTCTGAGTGCAGAGCCAGAAGTAACCCCTGTGCATCACCAGGTGTGACCCAAATAGCAAAAAAAAAAATACTCAAAGCAGGGTGTATAACGTGGGCTCCTGAAACACTTTCCTACTAGTTGTCACTCATTCTCTACTACCAATGAATATTATAAAATAGAGGTACTAGAAGACCTTTTAAGTACTGACTACATAATGAGCCTGGAGTAGTCCTCAAAAATTTGCACCAAAGACTGTTTTTCTTTGTTTTTGTTTGGGAACCACAGTTGGTGGTGTTCAGGGCTTACTCCTGTCTCTGCACTCAGGGATCATTCATGGAGGTACTGAGGGAATCGTATGAGGTGCTGGGGACTGAATCTGGGCTGTTGCATGCAAGGCAAGCACCCTGCCCATTTTACTATCCCTCCAGTCCCACAAAGAACTGTTTGTAATTCCATGAGATCTGGTTTGGTTTCCAGAGAACTGAATGACTACTATCTCACATGTCCTGTTCTTGATCATGCAAAGTTACCTGCAATGTATGATTTACAGTAATTGTGTGAAAGAAAAATAGCAATTAAAAATGATTTTTAATTATGTTAAAATTATTTTTAATTATTTTGTGCATTTTAGATTTACGAGTTATAAGATCAGCAGCACCTGGAAAAATAACAAAACAAGAATTGGAGGAGACTATAGATATACTTCTCACAGAGACAGAAACAGTTATATTTTTTAACTTACCAACAGTCATGTTTTCTACAGATTCTGAAGAAACGGAAAAAATTATGTATGTTTAAAATTTCATTGTCTGCATTACTTCTCTGATTTAAATTGTGATACCTATATATAGTGATATATATATATATATATATATATTGCTTTTTGAGTCACACCTGGAGATGCACAGGGGTTACTCCTGGCCCTACACTCAGGAATTATACCTGGCAGTGCTGGGGGACCATATGGGATGCTGGGAATTGAACCTGGGTTGACCGCATACAAGGCAAATGCCCTACCTGCTGTGCTATTGCTCCAGCCCTCTTCCAAAAATTCTTATCCTTAGACATTCTTGGTTTGGTGGACATTAGTGGTGTATGCCCTCAATCAAATGATACATAAAAAAGTGACCTATAATACTGGTGAAGTGTTCATGCTTTATGTATTTTATTATTTTTTAAAAATTCTTTTTATTTATTTATTTTCGCTTTTTGGGTCACACCCAGCGTTGCACAGGGGTTACCCCTGGTGGTGCTCAGGGGACCATATGGGATGCCGGGGATCGAACCAGGGTCGGCCGCATGCAAGGCAAATGCCTTACCCGCTGTGCTATCACTCCAGCCCCTTATTTTTAAAAAATATTTTTGGTCATTCCCAGTGGTGCTCAGGGCTTACTTTGACTCTGCATTCAGAAACCACTTCTGGAAGGGCTTGGGGTGCCAGGGATCAAACACAGGTCAGCTGTGTGCAAGGCAAGTGGTTTACCTGCTTTGGCCCCTTATTGCATTTTCTTTTACAGAAAGAGGCCTTATCATTTAAAAAGGTGAATTGCTAAGTTAAATAATAATTAGAGAAATCTTGTAAAGTCTCAGTATTAAGTGATTTAATTTTGCTTTTATGCATATAATCATTCTCTTTTATTTTTTTTAAACTTTCATTTTATGTTTATAAAGTTTTTCAGAATAACCTATTATACTCAATGTTTCTTTCCCTCTTGGAGAGCCTGGCAAGTTACCGAGAGTATCCTGCCTGCACGGCAGAGCCTGGCAAGCTATCCGTGGCATATTCAATATGCCCAAAACAGTAAATACAATGGGTCTCATTCCCCTGACCCTGAAAGAGCCACCAATACGGCAGCATTAAGAGGCAGGATGGGAAGGGGGGTGGATTGAGGGTTGGGGGGGGATGCTGGGACCCGTGGGGATGGATGACGGGCACTGGTGGAGGGATGGGCACTTGATCATTGTATAACTGAAACCCAAGCACAAAATTTGTAAGCCTATAACTGTACCTCATGGTTTTTCACTAATAAAAAAAGAAAAAAAAAAAGAAAAACTAAAAAAAAAAAAAAAAGGATGAGGAATGAGAGACTGATAAAATCTCAAGGCCGAACTAGGCTGCCAAAACGAAGGACTAATATGACTGTCTATACTTTCAATGCACATACACTCGCATTGGATGTATCCATTGAGGACCTGATGGTGCAAGTGTGAAAGATCAAGTACGACATCATTGGTCTGACCAAGATGAGAAGGCATCAACCACATCATGCCATTTTCAACACTGGAGAAGAACTGTTCCTCAGAACATGCAACAAAAGAGGCACTGGTGGTGTCGGTGTCCTTGTCAACACGAACTTGGCCATGAACATTGATTCATTCGAATGCCTAACAACCCGAATTGGACGATTACACCTGAATAGATGTGGCTCACTGCCGGCAGTTTCTATCTTTGTTGTCTACACACCAACATCCAATTGAGAAGATGTTGAGAAGCTCTACATGGAGCTGGAGAAGTTCTATAAAGAAGATCACACCTTCTACAAGATCCTTGTCGGTGATTTTATTTTTTTATTTTTATTTTTATATTTTTGCATTTTGGGTCACACCTGGCGATGCACAGGGGTTACTCCTGGCTCTGCATTCAGGAGTTACTCCTGGCGGCGCTCGGGAACAAAAGGGATGCTGGGAATTGAACCCTGGTCGGCCGCATGCAAGGCAAATGCCCTACCCACTGTGCTACATCTCCAGCCCCCATTGTTGGTGATTTTAATGCCAAGATAGGACCGAGAAGATCAGCTGAAGAACTCCACATTGGGACCCATGACCTAGAATGGAACAAACAGTGAGAGACTGTCTGAGTTCATCATGTTGACCAAGACCATCCATGGTAATTCACAGTTCCAGAAGGCTGAATCTAAGCATTGGACACGGGTGTCTCCCAGTGGACGGTTCCACAATGAAACTGACCACATCATATTCAACTGACGTTTTTGCCTCACCGTTGTCCGAAAATTTCAAATGGGATCAGACCACTGTCTCCTTCATGCAAAATTCTACTTCACAGAGTGGGGAGAAAGGACTTCAAAGTTTAAGAAGAGAACTCGCCGAACGACCACCAACTGGGACCTCTTTGGCACTATTGCGGGAACATGGGAAGACGCTGTCATTGAGAACATTGATGAAGAATATGATCAATTGGTTCAGCACCTCCACGATTGTTCGAGGAACATGGAGAGAGAGAGAGATATCCACAAAAAAACGCCTGTCTTCGAAAACTCTAAAGCTTATTCGCCAGTGTGGCTTGGCGCAAGCCTCAGGCAACTGCAAGCAAACTTCCGAGCTCGCAAAGCAGTGCAGAGAAGCAATAAAAGAAGACCTTAAAGAGAGAAGAGCAGCAGAGCTGGCAGATGTGGCAGAAGCCAGGAAAAGCATTCGCAACGCCCGCCTTTCCTTTGCCAAATATAAGACCAAGATAATTGCCCTTCGACGTCCTGATGGACCTATTACATCTTCCAGAAGGGCAATGGAGAAGATGATCCATGACTTTTTCTAGGATCTCTTCGATAGCCACGTCCACCTGCCAATATACCGAATTCCACAGGATGAAAATGTCATTCCCAATGTTCTCCCTTTGAAATCTGACATGCCATTTCATCGGTAAAGAAACGAACAGCACCCGGCCCAGACAAGGTCAGACCCGAACATCTGAAAAAACTGCTGTCAGTACTCATCAATACACTGGCTCGGCTCTTCACATGCTACCTGACTGAATGCAAGATTCTGTCCCAATGGAAAATCAGCAGGACCGTTCTACTGTACAAGAAAGGAGATTGGCAGCTACCTCTTGATCTGCCTGTTGTCTGTCGTCTACAAGCTATTTACTCTAGTCATCCTGAATAGGATTGTCAGAACACTAGATGAAGGATAACCATGCGAGCAAGCCGGGTTTTGAAAAGGATTCAGCACGATTGACCATATCCACACGGTAACCAAGCTCATTGAGGTTTCTCGGGAGTTCAAGATGCTGCTCTGTCTAACATTCATTGATTTGAAGAAGGCCTTTGATTCTGTTGAGACTGAAGTGTTCATGAAAGCCCTAGCCAAACAGGGCGTTCAAACTCAATACATCAGGATCCTCCGTGAGCTGTATTACGAATTCACTACCACGATCTCACCATTCTACAAGGAAGTGATCATCTATGTCAAGAGGGGTTCAGCAGGGTGACACCATTTTACTGAAACTCTTCAGTGCCACCCTCGAGAACATCATGCGACGACTGGAATGGGAAGGAATGGGAGTGAAGATAGACGGTCAACAACTACACCACCTCCGCTTTGCTGATGACATTGTTCTAATAACACTAAACATTAGCCAAGCAGCACAAATGCTGGCCGACTTCCACCATGAGTGTGGAAAGGTAGGACTACAGGTGAATCTCATGAAGACAATGTTTATGAGAAACGGACTTGTTTCTGACGTTCCATTCGCTCTCAATGGGGCAGACATCTCTGAATGCAACAGTTACGTGTATCGAGGTCAAGAAGTCAACATGATGAATGACCTGGCACCTAAGTTGTGCAGGAGGAAGAGAGCGGCTTGGAACACCTTCAAGAGCATGCAAGATTCAGCTAAAGAGGACGAAGAACCTCCGGCTCTGGGCACATCTCTTCGATTTCACTCTTCTTCCTGCATTAACATATGCCCCAGAGACCTGGACTCTATGAAAACACTATTTGGGTCTCCCAAAGAGGAATCAAAAGAGCTATGCTTGGAGTATCACGCTTCACTCAAATAAGAGAAAGAATCCAGAGTTCTGACCTCCGTCGATGATCGAGAATCAGGGACACTGTCTTGTTTACCAAGGCATCAAAAATCAGATGGGCTGGACATGTAATGCAATTTGGTCACGGCTTGGCCTCATGCAACACAAACTCACTGGCCTCTGTAATATCATTTCAGCCCTGCTTCATGTATTTTGATGCTCTGCTGTTAGATGCATCCACATTAGGTATCTTTTCAGCTTAAAGAATTGACTCTTTAGCATTAAAAATGTTTTTTAAATCTCTGATAATAGTAAGAAATATTTACAAAGAAGGTAGAGTTAAAACAGTATTAATGTTAAGAAACTATCTAAATGATGACTCATTTAGAAAAGTACTGAAAATGTGTAATTATAATATTTATACAATTTCTGAAATTAAGGTAAAAAGGTAAAGGTAAAGGCCCTCCCGTTGATCGTCGATTTGCTCGAGTGGGCCCAGTAACGTCTCCATTGGAGACTTTGTTGTTACTGTGTCTGGCATATCGAATACTCTCGGTAGCTTGCCGGGCTCTCCGAGAGGGGCGGAGGAATCGAACTCGGGTCGGCCATGTTGGCCACTTGTAAGGCGAACGCCCTACCGCTGTGCTATCGCTCCAGCGATAAGAAATTAAGGTAACTTCTATTTAAATAAGAGTATTGAACAGAGCATTACTAAGTTGGGATATCAATATGAATAAGTTATGAAAAGTGAATGTTGAAGAAAAATAGAATATAAAGCCTGAAAAAGAAGTTTGAGAAAGATGTTGATAATAGAATGAACATATATCACATACATCCAAACAGTTAAGGAAAAAGGGGAATAGAAAGAATGGAGAATAAAGGATCTATTCAGAGAGTAGGTGAGAACTTTCCCAAACTATTGAAAAACAATATTCATCAGTTAAAGGAATAAGTTAAAAGAAATTCTCAAAAAGAGAAATGGACTTAGTACACTGTACTAAACATGCAGTAGACTAAGCAAGTGCCCTACCCCCTGCGCCATGTCTCAGTCCCTCAACGTTATTTTCTCGATTTTCACATTACTTTTTGGTGCACTGCACATTTAAGAAGGTAAAAGGTAAAAGGTAAAGGTAAAGGCTCTCCCGTTGATCGTCGATTTGCTCGAGCAGGCCCAGTAACGTCTCCATTGGAGACTTTGTTGTTACTGTGTCTGGCATATCAAATACTCTCGGTATCTTGCCAGGCTCTCCGAGAGGGGCGGAGGAATCGAACTCGGGTCGGCCATGTTGGCCGGGTGTAAGGCGAAAGCCCTACCCAAAAAATCCTACTATGGTATCAAAGCGTTTCTACAGGTGTTAATTAAGCATTTTCCTAACATGTGACCCACACAGGTTCATTCCCTGAGTGCCCCTCGGTTCCCCTAAAGCATTATATCAAGAAGATATGTGTGATGATAATTTTATGGTTAATGAGTTAACATGCTTTGTTTTTTATAGTGAGAAAAACAAGAATTATGAAACCCTTTGTAAAAATAGATTAGGCAATGACTTATATGTTGAGAGAATGATGCAGACTATTAATGAACCATTAAAGAACAAAGATGTTCAATGTGACAAAATTCTAAAGGAAGATAAAGGTAAGTTACATTTTATTCTGCTTGATTAACCCCGAAATTTATAAAATGTTCTTTATTAATAAATAAATATCAAGATAAATAAAGTAATAATGGAATTAATTTGGCCAAATCACATGATTACTACGACCTATATAGCTTTCAGCATTTAACAAATAAACTAACAAGTGTTAAATATGGATACAGAAGATTTTTAAAAAAATCTGTTTCCTAGAACATTTTATTTTGTTTGGAGGTGGGGGAGGGCCACACCTGGTGATGCTCAGGGCTTATTCCTGGCTCTACACTCAGGGATCACTCCTGGCAGGACTTAAGGGAACACATGTAGTACTGAGGGTTGGCTATATGCATGACAAGCACCTTGCCCCTATACTCTCTCCCATATTCTAGAATTTTGTGGTCTTTTTGAACCTTTGTGAACCACTCATAGAAACTGATTTTCTATTATGCTACAAGACTATTATCCACAGCTAATAACTCGTTTTTGCTCACACCTGGCATTGCTCAGGGGCCACACCTGACTCTGTGTTCATGGGATCATATGCAATATGGGAATTCGAACAGAGCCAGCCACATACTAGGCAAGTGCACTAACCATTGCTCTTTCTCTCCCACCTCCATTTAATAACATGTAAAATATGTCAAACATAATTCTCCATCTTTCACATAAATGAACCGGTTGAATAAATGCAGTTTTCCACGAAGTAGGTGCCATTAATATTCCCCATTTTGTGGAGGAGGAAATAGGTAGAGGGTGGCTAACTCGCCCATGGTCAAACAGCAGGTGTGGTGAGCAGTAACTGACACCCTCTGCCCATGCTTAGAAGGGCTCCAGAGTCTGTACTCTTGACTACTACAAATTCATAAACTTTTTGAGTTTATGTATAAATAGTTCCAAGAATATTACAAAGTTCCAAGAATATTACAAAGCAGGTGTGGTGAGCAGTAACTGACACCCTCTGCCCATGCTTAGAAGGGCTCCAGAGTCTGTACTCTTGACTACTACAAATTCATAAACTTTTTGAGTTTATGTATAAATAGTTCCAAGAATATTACAAAGTTCCAAGAATATTACAAAGCTAAAATCCTATAATATAAAGTCAACGTGGTAAAAGAAGTGTGGCTTTTTTCCGCTCAGCAAAACTGTAAATCAGTGCTTTGGAGAGACTAAAATAGATAGTCATCTAAACAAGGGCTAAATGAAGAGAAGTGTAACGAATAGGAAAGTTTCGTGACGTCTCTTGCTCTTGCTTCACTGTCCTCCCTCATCATAGGGGTGGTCTTTTTATTTATTATTTTATTTTAGAGGAAATAAAAATTGTGATAGTGCTAACACTTATGGTTTTGATGTACATCATTACTGCACTTCACCATCAAGTATTAAGACCCTCCATCAATGTCCTTATTTTCCTTCCAGTTCATCTCCTCATTTCCACCCCGGCCTAGAGCCCTCCTGTTTCTGGACTGCTTGGTAATTAGAACTTCGTAGTCAAAAGTCCAGGGTTAGTCATAGTTCAGTACTGTTGATTCCCTCATTTTATGTCTCTATTCCATAGATAAACGAGATTATCTGGTATTGGTTCTTCTCTCTCTGACTTAGCATGCTCTCTGATGTTGGTCTTAAAGATAACAGCGTGCTCCCCAGTATGAACCCAAGGTCTCTTGTTCTAGAAAGAGCAGAGTAGACCTTATTCTCAAAGAATTTAGTTTGTTTTAGCTAAAAGACTGACACAAAACATTTGGCTGTTTTTCAAGGAGAGGAGGAAGGCATTGTGTCACACCCAGGGTTCCTCAAGTCTTACTCTTGGCTTTGAGCTCAGGTATCACCCTTGGCTGTGTTCAGGGGACTGTATGTGGTGCTGAGGATTGAACTGGGGTTGGAGGTATGCAGGGCAAACACCCTAACCCTTGTACTCACTCTTTGATCAGGGCACATGCTCTTTTGTCTTTACTTAGAATTCTCTCTCTTCCTCTCTCTCTCTTAACAAAAATTAAACTTTGCAAAAAATAGTTTAGAAAAATTACTAAACAAATTAGCACTCATAGCAGACTCCAAAACCTCTGAAGACCAGAAGAGTTTGAGATTAAACGTAATTGTATTCAAAATATTTGGTTTCAACAATGACAAAAATTTACATAATTATAGAATACAACAAACCAATATAGTATGACCCATTCAAAGAAGAAATTTTCAGAAAATGTCATTGAGGAAGTACTGATGTTCATTTACCTGTGAAAAAAGCTGAAATAAAGCAAATTACGCATACTCAAAAAGCAAAAGAAAGCTATCTTGGTGAATGGTCAATGGAAGCTAAGAATAATGTGCATTCTGCTATTAGTGGATGAAAGTCTATGGATATCAGTTGTATCCAGTGATTGATGGTGTTGTCGAGTTAACCTATCTCCTTACTGACATTTTGCCTGCTGGATCTGACCACTTCTGATAAAGGGATGTTGGCATTTTCAACTGTGACAGTGCACTCATCAATTTCTCTTTGCAGTTAGATCTATCCTTGTCTCATATAATTGGACACACTATTGCTAGGCATATACATATTAAGGATCACTAGGTCATCTTGGAAACTTGACCCCTTGTCATTAAAACACCCCTCTTTATTCCTGATATATGTATTGAATATAAGTGTCTTATGTATTCTTATGTGAATAGTATATAGTTCACAACAAAGAGTTTATTAAAATGAGAAACTGCTTATGCTAGGGGCTGGAGTAGAGTGGGTTGAGTGTTTGCCTTACATGTAATTGACCGGGGTTTGATCCCTGGCATCCCATATGATCCCCTGAATCAATCAGGAGTAATTCCTGAGAACAGAATCAGGAGTAAGCCCTGAACACAACCAGGTGTGACCCAAAAAGGAAAAAATAGAGAGAGAAAGATGAAACTGCTTACGTTAAAATGTTTAAATACACATCTAAATAACACAAAACACAAATTCAAAGAGACCTCTGCACCTTCATGCTCACTGCAACATTACTTACAATAACAAAACTTGTAAATAATCTATAGGTGACTAAATAAAGATGGGACATGGGACCAGGGATATAGCTCAAGTGGTAGAGCAATTGCTTTGCATATGTGAGGCTCTGTGTTTAATACCGGCACCACAAAATGACAACAACCATAAGACCTAATGCAAGAAGATGTGGTGTACATATACAATGGCATTCTGTATGCTAAGAAAAAGATTAATGTTGCCATCTCCAACAGTGTGGCTGGAACTGGAGAGTTTTCACGTTAAGTGAAATAAATGAGAAAAGCACTATTTAATTCCATATATATACACACACACATGCATATATATCACTTGTATCACTTGTCATCCTGTTGCACATCGATTTTCTTGAGCAGGCGCCAGTAGCGTCTCCATTCGTCCCTTTCCCGCGCTAGTGTAGCCCAATGCCATCTGCTAGCTCCAGGAACATGAAGAGTATCAAACCGTTCATTCAGGGTCCTGACAAAGAGGTCCGACCATCTTGTAGGTGGGCAGCCAGGTGTTCTTTTGACGTCCCGTGCATATATATGTATATATACTGCCACTCCAAAACATGTGTTATGAGATTATTTTATCAAAGAATATACACATATACCCCTGTGTAAACAAATAAAATATAAACAGTCATTATCTCTGGGTAATGAAAATAAATTCATATTTAGCTCTCCTTTATTTGAAGCAGTTAAAAATAAAATTTTTTTCTAAGTATTACATAGTCATCAGATATTCTCTTAAAAGTCTGAATTAAACTAGTAGGTAGAAAGTTTTAAAATTTGCAAAAAATTTAGAGATTTTTTAACACAAATGCTCAAAATTCTGATATAGGGAAATTCTTTTTTTTTTGATACCCATTTAAATAAATTTTTAAAAAATTTAGGGGGGTCATACCCGGTGATGCTCAGGGGTTACTACTGGCTCTACACTCAGAAATTACTCCTGGCTGTGCTTGGGGGACCATATGGGATGTTGGGGATCGAACTCAGGTTGGTCCTGTTTAAGGCAAGCAGCCTACTTGCTGTCCTATCTCTCTGCCCCCAAATAAACTTTCTTTAATAACATATAATAGTATAAAATTGGGAGGCGGCAGTCATTTATTAATTTTCCATTGTGCACATGATATTCTGGCATGTGGTTTTAGATTTTGTTTCTTGAATTAGTAAAATTTAAATGAACAAATGTAAGAACCCAAATTAGAAGTAATAATGTTACTTTCATATGAAAAAAGACTTAAGCTATCATAACATCTTATATTGCTAGCTTATAACATTTATTTATGTAAAGGTAAAGGCCCTCCCGTTGATCGTCGATTTGCTCGAGCGGGCCCAGTAACGTCTCCATTGGAGACTTTGTTGTTACTGTGTTTGGCATATCGAATACGTCACGGGGAGCTTGCCAGGCTCTGCTGTGCGGGCGAGATACTCTCGGTCGCTTGCCGGGCTCTCTGAGAGGGGCGGAGGAATCGAACTCGGGTCGGCCACGTTGGCTGCGTGCAAGGCAAATGCCCTGCCGCTGTGCTATTGCTCCAGCCCATTTATTTATGTATTAATTATTTTATTAGTGACGATAAGTAAGAATACAAGAACATATTCTTTTATGCTGCAGTAAAAAAAAATTCAGTACAGAAAGTAAAGCTTAGGTAATTCAGTATCTAAAGACATGATTTCTTTGTATACTATTCTGACAAGAAATTGTATCTACTTTGGCAAGACATTTGGGTATTCTGTGCATGAGTTTATTAGATACTATTAAGATAAATTCAATTAGAGAATTGTTGTTACAAAATATGAGTGGACATTTTTATTTATTGAAAACATCAAATGCTATAGTTCTCACTTTTTACATTACAAACATTAAAATTCTAACTCAGAAGAAGGAGTATTAATTAGATATAGATTTGTTTTATTTTTAGGGAGAAAAATTTTGTTATTAAATTACTGTAGGGCATTCGCCTTACAAGCGGCCAACATGGCCGACCCGAGTTTGATTCCTCTGCCCCTCTCAGAGAGCCTGGCAAGCTACCAAGAGTATTCGATATGCCAGACACAGTAACAACAAAGTCTCCAATGGAGACGTTACTGGGCCCGCCCGAACAAATCGACGATCAACGGGAGGGCCTTTACCTTACCTTACCTTAACTGAAAATTTAGTAAAATTTGTAGGAATATTTTGTTAAGTGAACACTGCAAAATGATTGTCATTGTAAGGATTTTATGGTTCTATCAGTAATAAAAGCAGTCAGAAGCCTCTTTTTCATTTTATTTTTACATTTTTTTGTTGATTTTTTTGTTTGCTTGTTTGTCATCATACCCAGCGATGCTCAGGATTTATTTTTTTATATTTAAAATTTTTATTTTAAACAATTATGCATAAAAACATTTTATTAAAGTTCTTTTTTTTACATTTTTATTAGTGAAACACCATGAGGTACAGTTGTAGACTTACAAATTTTTGTGCTTGGGTTTCGGTTATGCAATGATTGAGTACCCATCCCTCCACCAGTGCCCATCCTCCACCACCACGGGTCCCAGTATCCCTCCCACCCCCCACCTCTCCCATCCCACCCTGCATCTGTGGCAGGGCATTCCCTTTTGTTCTCTCTCTCTCCTTTTGGGTGTTGTGGTTTTCAAAAGAGGTATTGAGTGGCAATCTTGTTTGGTCTAGAGTCTACTTTCAGCATGTTTCTCCCATCCTGGGATGATCCTCCCAACACCCTTTATTTGGTGCTCCCTTCTCTATCTGAGCCCCCTTTTCTCCTAGCATGTGTGACTGGCCTCCAAGCCATGGAGCAAAATTCCTGGTACTAATCTCGGCCATTCTTGGGTGTTAGTGTCCTATTTTGTTACTTTATGTTCCCGAGATGAATGCATTCTTTCTATGTCTATCCCTCTCTTTCTGACTTATTTCGCTTAACATGATACTTTTCATGTAGTATCGCTTGTATGCAAATTTCACGACTTCATCTTTTCTAACAGATGCTCAGGATTTATTCCTGGCTGTGCACTCAGGAATTACTCCTGGCGGTACACAGGAGACCATGTGGGATGCAGAGAATCGAACCCGGGTCAGCCATGTGCAATACCAATACCCTAGCCGCTGTACTTTTGCTCCAGCCCTGCGTCTCTTTTTTTAAAATCTGAAGATACATAACATTGACAATTTTTGTTTAAAGACTGTTGTTATAGGTTCTCCTTGAAGACACACAGATAACTTTAGACAAAATATTTTAAAAGAAAATAACTAAGCTACAACTTGGTTGCGGAAAAGGGATCTATCATTTTCTAACAAGTGTAATCTTTCCACACAAGTGTATAGGAAACTTTTGTGGCTAAAAATGGAATTAGATGATTAAAATAAAAAGTCCTATAACATGCTATATGTTGGCCGTAAGTAAAGGAATATGTTCTAACATGGACATGCTGTTAAAAGATAACACTGAAGGGAAAAACTAATTAGTTAGAACCACGTCAAGGCAGCTCATCAGAAAATGAGCAGGAAATGACAAATCTGATGAGGACTTTGTGGCAACGAGAAAGGATGATGAGGATAATCTGGGACTAGTCCTAAAACCCAAAGCTGTTTGTATCCAGTAAAGAGTGTGACAGCTAAGAAACTCTTAAGATATCTTCATGATTTGTATCTTTCATCTTCATTTACTTCCCACTGTTGTGAACTAAAAATCAAATTTTTCTGTTAAGCTGAGCTTAGAATTATTTATAGCTTCTTGGTTTAAATTAATTTTAATCTTTTTTTCTCCTTTACTTAGGTGTAATGTCGACTGCTTGGGATATATATGATTCTTTTAATGCTTTGGAGCTTTCACCTGTAACAGCAAGACGACCTATTCTTGACTCAAGAAGCAAAGCAAGTTTAAATGCTAAAGATTGGGACCCACAAATGCAATCGACTACTACAGAAAAAAGTAATATTTCATTTCGTTGTTTTTATTGGGGGGGATAGTGTTTTCCCATGGTATTTTAATTTTTAGAAGCTGCCACATTCTTTTCTGTTGAAATATGCAAAGTACAAGTTTTATTCAGATTAATATTGTTATTCTTTTATATCATCTTGGGCTTTGAACTGAAAGATTAGTTTTATCCCTGGACCTCCAGCATTTTCTCTCCAGGAATAGAGAAATCTATCATTTTATGAATTAAATAACTCATAAGTGAATATATACTAGCTCTCTGATAACTTAAAAGAGATTACTAGTAATAAAAGTCATTACTAATAGTGATTTTCAGTTGGGAGATTTTGCTTTTCCAGTGTGTAGAGAACTGTTTTGTTGTCAATACTATAGGGATGTCTTTTAGGTACCCTGAAATTCCTGAAATCCCTGAAATTCCTTCAGGATAGGGTACCCTGAAATTCAGGATAGGGTACCCTGAAATTCTTTCAGGATAGAGGACAGGTGTCATATAAAAAGTATTCAACCAAGGGCCAATACTACCAAGCTTGAGAAATCCCACCTTACACTCTTAGAGTTTAAAATCATAAATTTTCAGATAAAGTGTTATAACTAACATCAGCCTCAAATTATAACTTCCCAAATAGATTAATGGACCTGGGAGAAATTTCGTCAAATACCAGTTTGTCAAATTACAGTTCTGATTGGTGACTCTGGGTTTACTCTCCCTACTCTAAATTTCTGAGTCTCTTTCTTGTCAACGTTACTACTACTACTACATTGGTAGGCTAGTTATAACATTGTCATAACATGCTATATGTTGGCCATAAGTACAGGAAAAGCTAGAGAGATTTTTCCATCCAGAGGTTTTTACAGAACATGTAAAGTTTTAATAAATTTTCATAAATTTAAACTGAAATAGTGCCCTACTCTCATTGTTTTTTTTTTTGAACTCCAAGATGTCTTTATTTATTTCAAATTCCAATAGAATGAATATGCTTCATCTAAATATCTTTATCACACAAAGGCGTGGAGGCCCGGCAGCCTGGCTCTCCCCTTCAGGATGCCCCTGAAGTAGCACATGTATTTTACTGCTTGGAACTTGGATGAGTTTCCTCACAGGACATTCTGTTCACTGAGCAAAACTGAGAGCGAACCCCTGCCCCGGGGCAGGGTGGCGCCCAGTAGAGCCCCCGTCCACACGAGGGGACGGGCACTTGACATATTCCTTCTTGCCCCCCTCCAGGACTTACGTTCTCATTGCTTTTGACCTGAAAACATATGTAATATTTGTAGCACTGTAGCGCTGTCTTCCCATTGTTCATCAATTTGCTCGCGCGGGCACCAGTAACATCTCCATTGTGAGACTTGTTGTTACTGTTTTTGGCATATTGAATACACCACGGGGAGCTTGCCAAGCTCTGCCATGCGGGCTGGTTACTCTCCGTAGCAGCGGGTCTCTCCAAGAGGGGCGGAGGAATTGAACCTGGGCCAGCCTCGTGCAAGGCAAACGCCCTACCCTACCCGCTGTGCTATCGCTCCAGCCCATGTAATATTTAAAAGTAGCAAATCAATATTTTTGAATACGAAGTTTAAGAAGCAGAGAAATCTTTCAGAAAATAATCACCTAATTTATTATTAATATGTCTCCTTTAGATATGAGGGATCCACGCGACTTACCTTAAAATTTTTTTCTATTATTGTATTCAGTTGTAATATTTAAGAGATGTAAACTTTAGATATGTTGCCTGTATTATTTTCATTTTGAAATTATATTTACAATCATATGGACTATAGCCAGATTTTTATGGAAAGGAAAATCAGATAATTTCTCTCAGATAACACTGAAGGGAAAAACTAATTAGTTATTACTAAAAAGCCTATTTTTTCTGTTATTTAAAATATTCATAAAATATATTTGCTTTTAGAAGCTACTAAGAATTAGCAGGAAAACCTTTTTGGCTAAAATTACATTGGGATTTCTTGGATATATACAGCCCACCCCAATATTGTCATTGATACATATACAATAGTTTAAGTGAAAGGTCTTAAAAGAACTAAAAGAAAAAGAAAACACATTCCTGTCTAACTCTGGGGTTTTATATTACAAAAAGAAAAAAGTTAAATATTTTTTGTATCAAAAATATTTGTATTCTTTTAAACATTATTAGGGTGTATTTTAACCTCATACTATATCTAAGAAAAAAGAGGCTCAGAATTTTTAATGTTTTAAAACATTTAGGGCCACCAGACCTAAAATCTATCTCCGGAGATAGTACATCTATCTTCAGAGATCGTATAGTGGGTAGGTCACTTGCCTTGCATGGGGCTGATCTGGGTTTGATTTCTGGCACCAAATATGGTTCCCTGATCCCTGCCAGGAGTGATCTTTGAGTGCAGAGCTAGGAGTAAGCCCTGAGCATCAACAACAGGTGTGACACCCCCCCCCCCCCCAAACACCCAATTTTGGCAAGGTTGGAGGAGCAAGTAGAGGATCCAAGATGTGGAAGTAGGCCTTCAGATCTCGAATATTTTCTTGTTGGTCTTCTGGTCATTTAGTCTTTTACAGTAAATATTTTCTAAATAGTCACTGTCACTGTCACTGTCCTCCCGTTGTTCATCGATTTGCTCAAGCGGGCACAGTACCATTGTGAGACTTGTTGTTACTTGGCATATCAAATACATCACGAGTAGCTTGCCAGGCTTTACCCTGCGGGCGAGATACTCTTGGTAACTTGGCAGGCTCTCCAAGAGGGGCGGAGGAATTGAACTCAGGTTGACTGGGTCAGCCGGGTGCAAGGCAAAACGCTCTACTCACTGCGCTATCGCTCCAGCCCTTTCTAAGTAGAATGATAGGCAAAATAATAGTTCCCCAATATGTTCACACTCCACTTCCTGGATACAGTGAATAGGGCACATTCTAGAGCATAAGAAACTGTCCAGGTTTGATTATTTTAAAATCCTCAAAGCAATAGATCGTCAAAGTATCTGAGCGTGCCTAGTCTAATGATCAGATATTTATTATTTTATTTCACTTTGGGGGTTTGGGGGCCACACCCAGCAGTGCTCAGGAGTGACCTCTGATGGTGCGCGAGCAGTTATATGCAGTGCGACAGGGGTGGGGTGAGGGACTGGTGGAAACGTCCTGGGCTGCATTGCAAGGCAAGTGCCTTACCTCCTGTACAATCTCTCCAGTCTTCGCCGGCGGATTCTATTCTTGTTTCCCTCATCTTTTATCGAGGAAGAATGATGTACCATACTGGTAATGATAGAATTTCATGTGTAAATTCAGTGTTCTAATATCACATGCTCCATCAGAGTGTCAGTATCCCTGAACCAAAATCGCCTTCCCGGCCACAACCATCCCTCCCCCCACAATCTCTCCTTGGCAATCTCAATTCTTTTTTTTTCTTTTTGGGTCACACCCAGCGATGCTCAGGGGTCACTCCTGGCTCTGCACTTAGGAATTACTGCTGGCGGTGCTTGGGGGACCGTATGGGATGCCGGGGATTGAACCCAGGTTGTCCGCGTGCAAGGCAAACGCCCTACCCACTGTACTATCACTCCGGCCTGGCAATCTCAGTTCTGTAGTCAAACTCTTAGGTTTTTATTGCCTTGGCCATTTGGTATTCCCTTCCTATGTTTCTTCATATATATATATATTCCACATACGAGAGAGGTCATTCTGTATTTGTCTTCCTTCTGACTTCACTCAGCATGATACCCTCTAGTTCCATCCACATAGAAGTGAAATGCATGATTTCATCTTTTCTTCCAGATGAGTAATATGCCACTGTCACATGGGTATTTTTAAATAGAAGGACTTCTGTAGACAGAGATGTAGTATTACTGCCTTTGAAGATGCAGAGATATTTAGGGACATTTGGAATTGGAAAAAAGTAAGGAAATTAATTTGGAGGCTTGGGGGTTGGGCCACACCTGGCTGGTGGTGCTCAGGGATTACTCTTGGTTCTGCACTCAGGAATCACTCCTAGTGGTACCATTGGGGTGCTGGGAATTGAATTTAGGTCAGCTGTGCACAAGGCAAATGGTCTACCTGCTATACTATTGTTCCAGCCTCAGGAGATGAATTCTTTGGAGTTTCCAGAAAGGAAAAATACGTATTATGTTCCTAAGATAGCAAATTTTTATGATTTTAATACATTGAATTACTGCTAATTAAAACATCAATGAAAACTAACTTAATAAGTTATAACTAACATAATATGGAATTCTTATAATCAAATTATTTATAATAAAATACTTATAATTTTTGTAATTATAAATATTATAAATAAATGTAAATAAAATATAATTATAAATAATATAAATAAAACAATTACAAACCACATCACCTATCTGTAGACTGTTGATAATCTTTTTCTTCTTGTTGGTTTTGGGCTAAACCTGGCAATATTCAGGAGACACTCCTGGTTCTGCTCTCAGGAATCACCCAGGGCAGTGCTCAGAGAACCATATGGGATTCCACGGATAGAACCCAGATCGGCCTCATGCAAGGCAAGCACCCTACCTGCTGTAAAATCACTCTGGCCAACTGATCATAGTCTTATTTTAGTTTGAACAAAAATATAGAAAGATGCAAATGAACCCATGAGGTTACTATTTATCTTCTGAAAGCTATTATATTTTTGAGTAGTTAGCACTGTAGCACTGTCCTCCTGTTGTTCATCGATTTGCTCGAGCGGGCAACAGCAATATCTCCATTGTGAGACTTGTTACTGTTTTTGGGATATCGAATACGCCACGGGGAGCTTGCCAGGCTTTGTCGTGCAGGCAGGATACTCCCGGTAGTTTGTGGGGCTCTCCAAGAGGGACGGAAGAATCGAACATGGGTCGACCATGGGCAAGGCAAACGCCCTACCCGCTGTGCTAGCGCTCCAGCCCTTTGAGTAGTTAAAATTCTAAAATGAGAAAGTAATGGACATCTTCTTTGTGTTTGGTCCATAAAGAATATTCAGTAAATATCTTTTGCAGTTGTTAATTCTGGACTAAAAACATACAATATGGTATCATGCCATTTAAAAAACATTGAGAATTCCCAGAGCATGCAATATTATTTTATCATTGCATCATATTTGTATTTTACAGGCGGTGGAAGTTCTCTGATGGATATAGAAAATGTAATTCTGGCTAAAATCCAAAATGAAGAAATAAACCACATAGATGCAATACTGAAATCTGACAAGTTTCAGCAGAACTTATTTTTCATGGAGAGAGTTCTAATGGAAAACATATTTCAGCCCAAACTGGCAGCTTACCGTCAACTTCCTGTATTTAAAGGTATTTTTAAAAATAAACCACATTTTGATAATCTCAAATGGGTAAGAAAATATAAATAGTGCTATTAATTACTTCTAAATAGGATCTCCGGACTGTACTTGTCTATGAGAAGATGTGCTTTTACAAGGATGTCAGCACAGAATTTAAGTATAGACTAGGGTTCCTGCTAGGGTTCCTACATAAAGATATTGCTTCCTTGGATTTCAGAACATGTGTCTCTGTGACTCTTTCCCTTCTCTTACCTTGTGTTGAACTATTCTCCTATTCAGACCCTGCTTCCGTCTGCCACTGACTTCCCAAGTCTGATTTTCACTGTTGCAGGGGAATCCTTCCTGTTTTTATCATTATAAATCCTGTCTCATATATCCACAAGCTATTTGAAAGATTTTAGAGTGTAATTTGAACTTCCAATTTATAAGTGAGTAAAGTGAAAGTTGCAGGTAGTTTCTAAGGTTACATCCCATGTGACAAAGTTAGGTATTCAGATAAGCTGTTTGATCCCATTCCAATTCTCTTTCCACTCTACTATCCTGAATTGCTGCTGCAGCACAGACACACATTTGAAGATAGTATTTAAGCACTCACAAACCATCACCACCTTCCAGTGCATTCCTTAGAATATATTATCAACCTCATAGCATGTCATTCAAAGGCTCCTGAAATCAGACACAGACAGGACTTGATTTCATTATATTACTTAAGAGACACTCAAAGTTAGCTTACCTGGTACAAGCCTTATGGGTCACCCCCAAACCCTATACTTTCTGCCTAGAAACTTTCACTGAGAAATGTTCAGCAGTTTTTCCTTGTGTTTTTCTTGTCTTTGCACACTGTATCGTCATTTTCAAGTAATATGGAGAGGGTATTCACCTTTGTGGAAATTTTCTTGGTCCTGAAGTTTAGTATTTGTTTCTATATGACTGCATATTTGCAAAATATAATGTTTGACAAATGGTTGTGAATATTTTGCTTATACACCCCTAGAAGAATATGGAAGAAATATTCTTTTTTGTACTAGTTTAATAAAAAATTTTGTCATATGTGTAGACTTTCCCTTCTGCATTCCTAGACTTATATACTTAATATTTACAGAGTATAGTATGACATTGGAAAAACAACTGTTATTACTTTAAATAACATTGAACAACAGTGCATGGTTGGAGGTTGTAAATATCTTTGTTTTATTTACTTAATTTAGAACAGAGGCATTCATTATTTGTTTGATGTTCAGTGTAGGTATTGTTGGTTTATTTATTTCTTTGGTAGAAGTGTTTTGTTTATGAAGAAACCGCTCTTTTACCAGTACACCAGGAAGTTTTTAAAGATGAATGGAAGTAGAATTTGTCCATTTGGGGTTCATATGTTAAAATTATCATATAATTGCCCCCACAAATTTCTACTTAGGCATTATGATTTACAAAATTGATAATAATAATAAGGCATACAATGTTCCAACTCCACACCCACACCAGAGTTTTAGCACTCTTCCACTAATGTCTAAAGGTGTCTTCCAACACTTGGAAAACTCAGTTCTGTAGGAAGTTCTTAAGTTTTCTTTTCATCAGTCAGCTGTTATTCCCTTCCAATGTTTCTGCAGGTCCTACATATGAGAGAGGTCATTCTGTATTTTTCCTTCCCTATAACTTCACTCAATGTTATATCCTCAGTTCCCACACATGTGGCAATGAACCATATAATTTTATCTTTTCTTATAGTGGAATAGTATTCCGTTGTGTCGCTCTACCCTGGTTTCTTTCATCCTCTCATCTGTTTGGGGGCACTTGGGTTGTCTTCAGATCTTGTCAATGTGACCAATTACATTGTTTGATTATACAATGTTATATTATACTAAATACTGGGTGTTACGTTTTACTTTGCTAACATATATTATCCTTTTAAATATTGGTAAATAGGGTTTTCTGACATTCTGTTAACATTTTTTTATTACTGGGTACATGAAGCATATTTTCCCATGATTTTATTTTCTTATTAAGTCCTTTGAAAGGTATTTTTGTGACAGTATTGTGATGGATTTATAAAATGAGTTTTGAATTCTTTCATCTATTTTCCAAAATCAGTTTTGCATTTATTTATTTTCTTTGAATGTCAGATAACATTTACCAGTAAAACTGGGGTTGAGGCTAATTTATCAAAAGTTTACAAATCACACATGAAATTTCCTGTAATGATACAGGGTTAGTCAGACATTCTGTTTGTATTGAGATTATTTCAAATAAACTTAACAATGGTTCAATCTCTTTGTAATACAGTTTGACAGTTTCTTACAAAGCTAAACATACTGTTATCACATGGTCTGCATCATTCTCTTTGTATTTTCCCAGTGGAGTAGAATACCTCATATCCACACAAACTTGCTTGCACAGAGAAATAACAGTTCCATTGATAATTCTTTTTTTTCCATTGATAATTCTTAAAACTTGAAAGCAACCAAAATGTCCTTTATGAGGTGAATGAATTAATTGTGGTGCAGTTAGACAATGAAATATTATTCAGCATCAAAAATAAATTAGTTGGGCGAGAGCCATAGTACAGCGGGTAGGGCATTTGCCTTGCACGTGGCCAAACCCTGACAGGTTCGATCTCTGGCATTCCATATGGCCCCCCAAGCACCACCAGGAGTAATTCCTAAGTGCAGAGCCAGGAGTAAGCCCTGAGCATTGCTTGGTGTGACCCAAAAAGCAAAAAAAGAGAAAAAAAAAACAAAAATAAATGAGTTATCAAGTTGTGAGCAGACATGGAGGAAACATAAGTGCAAATTATGAAGTTAAAATGCTTTATTTCATTATGGAATGCTGACAAACATGCACCTGCCTGTGTGTCACTGACAACTGGGTTCCATGGGATGTCAAAAGATTGCCAGGCCACTCATCTATGAGATGGTCGGACTTCTTCGTCAAGACCCTGAACGAATGGTTTGATACTCTTTGTGTTCCTGGAGTGAGCAGACGATGCCACTGGGCTACACTAGCATGTGACAGGGACAAATGGAGACATTACTGGAGCCTGCTTGAGCAAATCGATGAGCAACGGGATGATAAGTGATACAAGTGACATTTCATTATGGAAAAAAATGCGGATAACAACCCCATCCCTCCTTGCCCACCTAACAACCCTCAAAAAGCCACAATGCCCGGTCAACCTCTTTTCATTTTGGAGGCAAGACATTCTTCACTTGTCCTGCTCTTCCAGTGAGTCCCAAAAGCAACAGAATTTTCTGCCAGTAGTCTAGACAATTGCTCTCGATGCTCTGTGATTTGGACCATGTGATTCCACATATGCATAGTGGCCCTTAACATGATATTTAATAGACAGAAACTTTGGTAGGTCCTTGCCGGTTTAGGACACTTTGGAGTACTTTGGAGTACAGGGTCCGGAGGTGCTCAGGGCTTACTCTTGGCTCTGCACTAAGGGATCACTAGTCCTGGGGAGGCTTAGGGGACTCTATGGGATATCAGGGAATGAACCCGGGTCGGCTTTGTGCAAGGCAAGCTTGTACCCAAGGTAAGCTTAATACCCGCTGCACTATCCTCCAGCCCTACGGGCAACTTTTTATTTGCTCTTATTCATCTTTTCATTTGCTTAATTTTAGAACGTGAACCTGGAGAGCCTGACAAATTCTTAGGAATTGAAAATGTTGAACAGATACCAGAAGAGGCAAAGAAAGAAGAGGATGAAGAAATACAAAGAGAGCAAACAATACCAGCCAATTTGGAACGGCTTTGGTCTTTTTCCTGTGACTTAACCAAAGGCTTGAATGTGAGCAGCCTTGCCTGGAATAAGACAAATCCAGTAAGTTAGCAAGCATCTGAGCAATTCCATTTCTGGCAGTGGAAGGCAGCTGTCAAGCCCTAATGAAAATAGTACTTTTTTAGGGAGTAGGGGAACAATTTAAAGAGACATACCCCCATTTTAAATATCTCTCATGTACATTTATATTCTTTAAAAACGGGAAATGTAAATAGTTACAAAGGATGTTTCCCCCCTTTAATATAAGAAAATATTTTTATTTTAGGACATGTAACTGGGATATGACATTCTCCAATTCTAAGGTACTAAGGAATGAGCTGGAATATGTGTCTGATTTATTGTAACATATGCCAAATTCATGTACCCAAGTATTTTTCTTAGTAGAAGTGCTCATATTCCAGATTCATTTACTTATTACAGTTGACCATGCAAAAATGAAGACAGATCTTTTGACTTCTTAAAATACTTTAAATAATTGCAAATATTTAAATGGCACTTACTGTATACCAGGAACAGTTGTACACATTTTGTTTGTTTCACACAACTCTACTAGTTCAGTATTATTTTCTCATTCTCTTGGTAAGGAAATTAAAGCACAGGAAAGATAACTAACTTGCCCAGAGTTACACAGCTAACTTGGGAGACAAGCCAGTGATAATTAAAACCCAGACATGGGGCTCTGGAGTTGTAGTTCTTAATTGCTGCAGTGCCCAAAATCACCTTGAGACAAATGAGATGTATATTGTCAAGCTGAGGAAAGTGTTCTTCCTTGTGAAAAAAATCATGGTTCTTTTATTTATTTATTGCTTTTTGGGTCATACCTGGCAATGCACAGAGATTACTCCTGGCTCTGCACTCAGGAATTATTCCTGGCGGTGCTCAGGGGACCCTTATAGGATGTCGCGAATCAATCCCTGGTCTGCCGCATGCAAGGCAAATGCCCTACGCGCTGTGCTATCGCTCCAGCTCCAATCCTAGTTGTGTTAAAAACACAAAAGACTGATCTGCTCTTGAAGTTTATGAACTAGTTCTGGGTGTGTGTGAGGGGTATGGGGTGGGGCTGTACACATCAGGGTTTGGAGCTCCCACACTGGGCTGAGGTGCTCACTGAGGGTTGCAACTGATGGCACTTGCACAGGTGTTTGCCAAGTCTCACGTATTCTTCAGCTGTGGTGCTCACTCACGTTATAGCTACTATTCCTGATTGCACTGCACGCAAATCCATTAGTGGCCGCACACTCACTCATCACACTCTGTAGTCATGGTGCTTCCACACACACACACACACACACACACACACACACCTGGCTGTGCAAGGTGGCGGGAATCACAGACAGCAGGATGCCCAGAGTAGTACTGTGTATGTGCAAGGGATTAAACTCTTCCGCTTGCCAGACAGACATTCTGTGCTCTTCTCCCGGGTCCTCACTTCCTGTCTCTTACATGTTTTCCCGCCGTGTTCTCATGTGGAGAGAAGAGAGCTCAGCTGCGTCTGCTGCTTGCAGGGTCACCAATCCTATTAGATTAGGACCCTAGCCCAATTAATTTAACTCTAATTACTTTATGAAAGTCCTATTAATAAATGTGAATATAATCTCATTGGGTTGGAGCCATAGCACAGCAGGTAGGGTGTTTGCCTTGCACGTGGCCAACCCAGGTTTGATTCCTCTGCCCCTCTTGGAGAGCCTGGCAAGCTACCGAGATTATCCCACCCGCACGGCAAAGCTATGGCAAGCTGCCCATGACATATTCAATATGCCAAAAACAGTAACAAGTCTCATAATGGAGACATTACTGGGCCCGCTTGAGCAAATCAATGAACAGCGGGAGGACAGTGGACACTGGACAGTGGATAATCTCACTGGGAGTGAGAGCTTCGTTCAGCGTTCTTTGTATCACATCATTATCATCATCCAAGTACTGCCAGGAGTGACCCACAGGCTCTGAGCAGAGCTTGGAGTGGTTCCAAACCAAGCCCCTTCCTCCCGGGAAGGATTTCAAAATAGGTATTTGGGACTGGTATAGGCTACGGGAGAAATATAATTCAGTCGTTAACTCAGTGTCTGTATTTTATGCTTGAAATGGTTAGGTTATTCTTGAAGAGCTACAAAACATAGTGTAATTTGTAGTACAATCTGGGGAAATTACCACCATTTGTAAAATAATTTGTTAGTTTTTTAAAAAGTTACTTATTCCTCAGTCTGAAAGGGTGACTATTGTTACTATATTTTGCTTAGGTAGTTGGAAGTGGAGTAGAAATTGAGAGAAAATGTGTAACCACTTTTTAACATAATTTATAAATCTTGCTTAGGTAGTTGGAAGTGGAGTAGAAATTGAGAGAAAATGTGTAACCACTTTTTAACATAATTTATAAATCTGTATGCTTTTACATTTTTACACTATTTCTACACCTTCTTCTTATTTAAAATTTTTCTCCTACTTTTTAGGACCTTTTGGCTGTTGGCTATGGACACTTTGGATTTAAAGAGCAAAAGAAAGGATTAGCTTGTTGTTGGTCATTAAAGAATCCCATGGTAACCCAAACAGTTATTTTACTTAATTAAATGTTGACATAATTCCAATAAAGTAGATAATTGTATGTGATTACACAAAAGCAAGACAGTTTTAGCTCACAAGGTTTTATTTTCTTCTATTTAAATTCAGGACAGCTAAAGTCTGTTCTTTTCTATATACAAGAAAGAAAATTTATTTATAACTAATTTTGATAAATATTTGCTGAGCATTAGTAGGCTTGATGATGTAGTTTTGAACCATTGTTATGCCTGCTAGTTACAAACACAAATATATTTGCAAATGAAAATCTTTTGTAAGTTAGATTTTAACACTGGGTTGTTTCTAAATAAAGGAATTGCTCTTCATCATCTTATAAAATAGATTTTTGTCCGGTTGAGAGACAGTACAATGTATCCAACCAGGGTTTGATTCCTGGAACCATGTGGTTCTTCAAACCATAACTGGATACAGCCCTGGATGCCCTCAGAATTTCCAGTGTCACTTGGATACTCAAGCAATGTTGCGCCCTTGGACCCTCATTCTGAGAATCTCTAGCGGGTCCCTTGGACCTTCTGAGCACCCCTGGGCAGCCTCCTTTCAATAGTTGTTTTTGGCTCTTCTTTTGTGGTTCTCAAGGTATGCTAGTGGAGGCTCTTGAGGCCATCTTGGCCATAATCAACCAGGCCTGTTAGTCCAGTGTTGGCACTTCAGCACTCCTGAGGCTCAATGGTGGAGTGGGCACACCCAGTGCCTGGAAGTCTCTAGGGCTATACCCAATCGTGCTTAAGGATGTCATGCAGTGCTGTGGATTGAAGTCAGAGTCCTGTGCATGTGCTCTTTCAACTGAGCTATTTTCTTAGCCCTATCTATTTTTAAAAAATTTCTTTTGACTTCTATTGTCTTTGATATCAGATTAATATTACCATCTTATTATCTCATTCCTACTTTGGACAAAGTGGCAGGCTATCGAATGTAGCCTGCCCACACAGCAGAGTCTGGCAAACTCCCCATGGCATACCCAATATGCCAAATACCAGTAACAATGATGGGTCTCATTCTCCTAAAGAGCCTTGAATATAATCTCAGGGCTAGGATGGAGACATTACTGGGGCCTGCTCGAGGCAATCGACGAATAACAGGATGATTTGTGATTTGTGATTTGTGATTACCATCTTATTGCTATTAAGTTATTAAAGCAGATAAATATGATTCATGGTCCAGAATTTTTGCTATCACTTGTTAGTCTGTTACTTTATCACTTTATGTTTATTTTCAATCCACTTTTTTTTTCTTTTTTTATTAGTGAAAAACCATGAGGTACAGTTATAGTCTTACAAATTTTGTGCTTGGGTTTCAGTTATACAATGATCAAGTGCCCATCCCTCCACCAGTGCCCGTCATCCATCCCCATGGGTCCCAGCATCCCCCCCCCTCATCCCCCCCCCCGTCCCATCCTGCCTCTGTGGCAGGGTATTCCCCCTTGTTCTCTCTCTCTTCTTTTGGGTACTGTGTTTTGCAAGAGAGGCTTTGAGTGGCAATCATGTTTGGTCTATCGACTACTTTTAGCATGCTTCTCCCACCCTGGGAGGACCCTCACAACACCCTTCATTTGGTACTCTCTTCTCTATCTGAGCTTCCTTTTCACCTAGAGCCTGTGGCTGGCCTTCCATTCATGGAGCAAAATTCCTGGTACTAATCTCAGCCATTCCTGGGTGTTATTCTCCCTTTTTGTTGCTTTATGTTCCCCAGATGAATGCAATCTTTCTGTGTCTATCCCGCTCTTTCTGACTCATTTCGCTTAACATGATACTTTCCATGTAGTACCACTTGTATGTAAATTTCATAACTTCATCTTTTCTAACAGCTACATAGTACTCCATTGTGTAAATGTACCAAAGTTTCTTTAACCAGTCATCTGTTCTCGGGCACTCAGGTTTTTTCCAGATTCTGGCTATTGTAAAGAGTGCTGCAATGAACAAACAATTGCAGATGTCACTTCGACTATACCTTTTTGCCTCTCTGGGATATATTCCCAGGAGTGCTATAGCTGGGTCAAATGGCAGATCAAATTCTAATTTTTTGAGAGTCGTCCATACTGTTTTCCAAAAGGGTTGGACCAGCCGGCATTCCCACCAGCAGTGAAGGAGGGTCCCTTTCTCGCCACATCCGCGCCGGCATTGGTTGCTTTTGTTCTTGTGGATGTGGGCCAGTCTCTCTGGTGTGAAATGATATCTCATTGTGGTTTTGATCTGCATCTCTCTGATGATTAGTGATGTAGAGCATTTTCTCATGTGCCTTTTTGCCATTCGAATTTCTTCTTTGCGAAAGTTTCTGTTCATTTCCTCACCCCATTTTTTGATGGGGTTGGGTGATTTCTTCTTGTGGAGTTTAACCAGTACCTTGTATATCCTTGATATCAACCCCTTGTCGGATGTGTACTTGGTGAATATCCTTTCCCATTCTGTAGGCTGTCTTTGTATTTTGGTCAATGTTTCTTTTGAGGTGCAGAAGCTTCTTAGTTTAAGATAGTCCCATTTGTCTATCTCTGTTTTCACTTGCTCGGCCAGTGGCGTGACATCTTTGAAGATGTCACTTTTGAAATGTGGAATGGAAGATTTAAAAATATTAGAAGAACATATATAAAAATTAGAATTTTTATATGGCCCCAAGTATTTGATATTGAGTTTATATAGCATATCAGAAAAAAAACAACAAACAAATCATTTAAAACCCAAGGAAGGACTGATATAGAATTCTTCATCAGAAATTTGTTTTCTATGCAGATTGTTAGATTGTTAGAACCAAGACAGGATTTAGATTAGGCATTACAACAAAAAAGAAGGCTGGACAAGTTTATCTTAAAGAGTCCTGGAGCTTATATTATGCATTGCTTAGAAATTATTAGACAACCAGAGCACTTGAAACAAATACTGCAAGATAGGAACAGATAAAAATTAATTTGGAGCCCATTATTTGTTTAAGAATGTGGATCTGTAACGCCCAAAAGCAGAGAGAAAGTATGGGGGAAGTTGTCTGCTATAGCGGCGGGGGGAGGGTTGGAAAAGGGGGTACACTGGGAACATTGGTGATGGAGAATGTGCACTGGTGGAGGGATGGGTATTTGATCATTGTATGGCTAAAGCTCAAACGTGAAAGCTTTGTAACTCTGTATCACGGCGATTCAATTTAAAAAAAAAAAGAATGTGGATCTGTGATGAAAGATTAGCAAATTATGGGAATTACTGTAGATGCTTGTGTTACTTCTTTTAGTTATTGCGTTTAATGAAAATTTTGATGCCTTTTCCTCTCCCCCACTTTTCTGGCAGTTAGGAAGAGGGGAGTAGGCTGACTTTCACTCTACTGCTACCATTCTAGCCTGTGTACCCTCAACTCTCCCTAACTGTGTTCTGTAAAGCCAAGTTTCAAATGTAATGTACTGATTTCTTTCTGCAGTGGCCAGAACGCATTTATCAGAGTCCACATGGTGTTACTGCTATAGATTTTTCCATTGGGTCACCTAACCTTTTAGCAGTGGGACATTACAACGGAAACATTTCAATTTATAATGTACAGAACAACAATAGCGCCCCTGTTCTGGATAGTAGGTGAGATTTTAAGAATTAAATAGTATATAATGCATCCTACTTAGGGGATTATATACTAGTATATAAGCTGTTAGATGTGTATCTGTGTGTGTTATATAATTCTACCAATCCGTAATATATAGATATAGATATAATCTAATGTGTTTAATTTTGAGAGAATGCTGTTTTTATGGGTGATAAGATTTTTAAAAATTTAATAATTCCAGGGGCTGGAGCGATAGCACAATGGGTAGGGCATTTGCCTTGCATGCAGCTGAACCGGGTTTGATTCCCAGCATCCCCTATGATCCCCTGAGCACCGCCAGGAGTAATTCCTAAGTGCAAAGCCAGGAGTAACCCCGGTGCATAACCAGGTGTGACCCAAAAAGAAAAAAATTAATAATTCATAATTATATAGAATATTCTTTCCTAATATTCTCTTTACCTTCTCTGCACACTTCCTAAGCAAACTTAGTTGGGTTTAACAGTTTAAACTTATTTGTTCTTAATTTATTTATTTGTTCTTCATTTCAATTTTTCACTTTTCTTTAGCAAATCGATGAACAACGGGAGGACAGTGCTTCTTTGAAAAAAAAGTTGCATATGTTAGGTTGAATAAATGTGATTTTTCCAAGGTGTACAAAACGTTTTTGTTGTTGTTTTTTTTTTTGTGGGAGGGCTCACCTGATGGTGTTCAGGGAGGCATGCAGTGCCAGGGTTCAAACCTGGCTCTCCCAATGCAAAACCTATTCCCCAGATCTTTGAGTTGTCTCCTAGGCCCAATAATGTTTTAAAATATGGATATATTATGAAGTGATCACCACACTCCAATTAACACATCATCACCTCACCTAGTCACCATCCTTTCGAGGGAGAACATTCAAGATCTGTTTTCAAAAGAGAAATACTAGTTTGCATATCAGCAGATGGAAAAATTTCAAGGCAATGTAATGTAAATTATAATCACCATGCTGTACATTGGTTTGTACAAAGAACTTCTTTGTCTTATAACTGAAAGTTATAAAGCTTTATTGCTTCTAAGCTTTATTGTTTTACCTCTGCCAGGAAACTTTCCCATTCCTTTTTATTTGTCTGTGTATTCTACAAATACCTTTTCATAAAACTTATCATACTGTATATATACATATATGCATATAAATATATGTATCTTCTTAAGGAAACTAAATTCCCTTAAGAAGACAAGGAAACTAAATTCCCTTAAGAAGGTCTTACTTTACCTTTGTATCCTCAGTATGGCATATAATATCAGGCTGATAATAAGAATACACTAAATATTTGAGTACAGTGAATGAATGACTCATAAGGAAATCCAAAGTTAAAGGTGAAAGATATTGAACATATTGAATTTTTGTGAGATATCAGACACCAATGGAGTGAAAATGAGGTGAAATATTTATATCAAATGTTTGAATAAACTTAGCTAGAACTTGAGATAGGCATTAAAACACAGACTCTTTAGATTTCTCTGAGATTGTTTGCCCAAAATTGTAAGCATGGGGGAAGTAGATCCATAATTTTTACTAAATAACAATATATACGTGTACATATATATGTATATATAGGCACATATGATTTTACTGATTCAGAACTCTTGTTTTAGAAATCTTACATTAAAAAAACCAAGTGAGTGAGTACTAGATCTAGAAAAACTCATCATTCTGACTGGAAAGAGTAATCTGAAAAGTTATTTTAATTCTTCAGAGGAAATTTTAAATATTTCTTCTGATAATCAAGGCCAGAGAATCATGTCAGTGGTCATTCTTAAAATACAGGCAGAAGGCTGAGACAATTGCTTATTTGAATAAGATTTAAGTAACTTATTTCAGCTATAAAAAACCAAATGCTTGAGAAGATGAAGATACTTATGTTAAATGTGTCTAAAATAAAAATAGATTTATTCCATGCAACTGGGAAAAAATGAACAAATGAAGAAAAGTTGAATCTGAAAAAAAAAGTATGCATTTATATTCCTGGTCATCGATTTGCTCGAGCGGGCCCAGTAACGTCTCCGGGCTAGAGCGATAGCACAGTGGTAGGGCGTTTGCCTTGCACGCAGCCAACATGGCCCACCCGAGTTCGATTCCTCCACCCTCTCGGAGAGCCCGGCAAGCTACCAGGAGTATCTCGTCCGCAGGGGAGGGCCTTTACTTACTTACTATATTCCTGGTATGCAGCTAATATAATTATGGAGCACTGTCCTCCCATTGTTCATCGATTTGCTCGAGCGAGCCTAGTATCGTCTCCATTGTGAGACTTGTTATTACTGTGTTTGGCATATCAAATACATCACGGGGAGCTTGCCAGGCTCTGCCATGTGGGTGAGATACTCTCAGTAGCTTGCTGGGCTTTCCGAGAGGGGCAGAGGAATTGAACCCTGGTCGGCTGGGCCGGCTGCATGAAAAGCAAACACCGTACCACTGTGCTATTGCTCCAGCCCCAGATGTAGCAATTTTCCTATCATCTTGATTTTCATTAATTTTAGTACTTGATGATGAGAATTCTCCTATTATTCCTTTATAATTTCTTTTTTTGTTGTTTGTTTTTGAACCACACCCGGTGATGGTTAAGACTGACTACTGGCTCCGACCGAGTTCAGGGATCACTCCTGGCCGGAGGACCATATGGGGTGCTGGAGATTAAACCCGGTCAGCCACACGCAAGGCTAATGTCCTACCGGCTGTACTATCTCTCCAGTCGCTAAATTGCATATTATATTCTATTTTTGGTTTTGGGGGGGCCATACCTGATGGTGCTCAACTCCTCTCTTTTTTGACGGGTGGGGGGGGGTCGGAGTGAGAGAGGTTGTACCTGGCTGTACTCAGGGCTCGACCACTCTGGGCAGGCTCGGGAACCCATATGATATGCCAGGAATCAAATCAAGTTCAGTTGGGCAAGGCGAGCGACCTACCTGCTGTACTACTTTCCAGTCCTACTCGGGGTCACTCTTGGGGTCCAACTGTGGTACTGGGGTAAAATTCCCATTGTCCTATCTCTCTAATTCCTTTATTGGGGTCACACTTGGTGATGCTCAGAGCTTAGTCCTGGTCATGTACTTAGGGATGACTCCTGGGGACTTGAATCCCCAGTGAAACCTGTGGTGACCAGGATGGAACTGTAGTTGGCCTTGTGCAAAGGAAGAGGTGCTGGGAATCAAACCTGATTCAATTGTGCAAGGCAAGCGATTTACCTGCTGTACTATCTCTTCAGATTCTAAATCTTTTTTTATTTGTAATATTTTTTGTTTGCTTTTTGGAGCCACACCTAGTGGTGCTCAGGGTTTATACCAGCTCTGTACTCAGGGATCACTCCTGGTGAGTTCGGGACCATGTGGGATGCTACGGATTGAACCTAATATAATTAAGGGCAGTAAATTTCCTTTAGTAAGGAAGGAAAAAAATCATCAATGAATATTAGGTGACTAAGTTTTTCTTCTTTCTCAAAATATTAAGAGTAAAAGACTAATATTGAACAACCAAAGCACCAGTCTGTAGGTTCATTTAAAGTGTACTTGGGAGCTACGTTTATCATATAGTTGATTTTACGCAAAATACTTTTGTCTGTTTCAGTGAATCACCACAAAAACACTGGGGACCTGTATGGCAACTCCAGTGGATAGAACAAGATCGGGGAACAACAGGTGATGACAAAAGAGAAATACTAGTTTCCATATCAGCAGATGGAAGAATCTCAAAATGGGTTATCCGAAAAGGACTGGATTCTCATGGTAAAGAACATACTGGTTTTTATATATAACCTAATGTTTGCTATATATGCAGAGACTTACATACATTAACACATAGAAATGTATATATACCTGTTCATACACCAAATTCTCTTCCTATGTCGTGAATTAATTCCTACGGAACCCTGTATGAGGGGTTGGACTAAATTTAAAAAAAAAACACCAAAAACTGGGCCTGGGAATTGTTTTTCTAAACATCTAGTTCTGGTAGTTTCTAATATTAACTGAATTACAAAAGGCGGCAAAAATCACGCTACAATTTGTGGGCAGGTCATACATAATATCTGCAGTAGTTTTTTTCAGTGTCATACAACGAAGATGATTCTTTTTTCTTTAAACAAAGATTTGATGCGTTTGAAAAGAACCTCTACTATCAGCAAGAAAGGAACAGAAAAGGAAAAGAAAGGTGAAGCTTTGATATCTCGACAGGCTCCTGGAATGTGTTTTGCTTTTCATCCCAAGGTAAATGATTATTTACTTTTCACTCCAAGGTAAGTGATTTCAACTCATTATATATTATTCTACAATAGCATCCAACAATTGAAGTGTAGGAGGGAGAAAATAAAATGTTAATCAATATCATGACTTGTAAGTGAAAGCAAAAAACAAGCAAGCATAGGGGTTGGTGCCAAGTCAGGTAGCCTGGTTCATTCCAGTTGGCTGCTCTATGTCTTGTATCTTTTTCCTTGGAGAAAAGTTTGTGTCTCTGAGGAGTTATGGAAGAATTCTCCTCCTAAATCTGTGCTTGAGTTGAGGACCTCTGCTCTGCCGCTCTCTCAGAATCAGATCCTTTATACTGTCACTGTCACTGCCCTCCTGTTGTTTATCGATTTGCTCGAGCGGGCCCAGTAACATCTCCATTGGAGACTTTCTTGTTACTGTGTTTGGCATATCGAATATGCCACGGGTAGCTTGCCAGGCTTTGCCGTGCGGGCGAGATACTCTCGGTAGCTTGCCGGGATCTCCGAGAGGGGCGAAGGAATCGAACTCAGGTCGGCCATGTTGGCTGCGTGCAAGGCAAACACCCTACCGCTGTGCTATCTCTCCAGCCCATTCTTTATACAGTCCTCTGTATTTTAAGATGAATGGTGACTATCACACAGGAAGACTACATCCACTCCTGATGATCAAGACCAGAAACAAACCAGAGCACAGTTCCTTGAAGTCAGGGAATTTAGTCACTAGACAGAGGAATACAGTGGGTAGGGGACTTGCATTGGATGCCACTGGCTCATATTAGATCCCTGGCATTCTGTATAGTCTCCTGAGTCCTGTCAGGAGTGATCCCTGTGCACAGAGTCAGAAGTAAGTCCTGAGCACTGCCAGGTGTGGACTAAAACATGAAATGAAACTAAAACAAATAAAACATATTCTGGATGTTTTCAGTTACATGTTGGCTCATCTCTTAGAGATACTGTCATGCACCAATTGATGCAAACCCAAACTTGAGTTCCTTCTCTGTTCTATTCTTCCATCAAAATGCTATTTAAATCTTATTGTGCCACTACTTCCAACCCCTGTTTGGATTTTTATTGTACTTCATTTTTGCTATCATAGTCATATGTTAATCACATACGAATGGACTCCAATCTCAAAATCCCACAATATACTTCTCACCTTGACTTTAGAACAGTGATTTTCAATATGGGAAGTGTGGGGTTGTTGTTCCTCCAAGGGCACAATTCACAGTGTCTTGGGATAATTTTTGTTGGTGAAGTTGAAGGTTGAGTAGGGGCAGATTTCTATTGACATCAAGTGGGCAGAAACCAAGGATGGCGTCAAACACCCTGCCAGACACAGGGCAACTGTACCCAGTGACATTCAGGGTACTTATGTGAGGCTGGATTCAAGACAGGGATGACTGCATGCAGAGCATTCCTCTTAAGTCCTGCACTCTCTCTCTGGCCCACAAAATACTTTTAAAATCCCTACTTACTACATATGTTTATAGATACTTAAGATTCCATCTGATTGTATCTTTCATTCCCAGCTAGAGTTCTAGCAGCAGATATGCAATAGTGATTGCTAAACCTTCCACCTGCTCTCTGAGAGTCATTCATTTTTTCATTTTTTTCTTTTTGGGTCACACCTGGCAATGCTCAGGGGTTACTCCTGGATCATGCACTCAGGAATTACTCCTGGCGGTGCTGGGGGGACCATATGGGATGCTGGGAATCCAACCGGGGTCGGCCGCATGCAAGGCAAATGCCCTGCCCGTTGGCTGTGCTATTGCTCCAGCCCCTCTTTGAGTCGTTCTAATGAATGAACATGCACTCTTTTCCTTAGACTGTGTCCTAGCATTAAGTGTTAGGATATTTCTTATTTATTTAGGGTGGGGAGTGTTCCCAAACTCAGGAGGCTTGAGGGTCACTCCCAGTCACTGCCAAGTTGTGTAGGTCAGACAGCTCAATGCTGTGCCTGCTGTTACAGTGCTGCTCAGGTGGGAAGGTTCTATACAGCAAAACAAGGATTGAAGGCCTCCCCTTGAATCCAGTAAGGAAAAAAAAAACTCGTTCTTTTTTTTTTTTGCACAGTAGTTTTGCAGGTGATTTGATTATTGCAAAGCAAGGTAAAGAACATCAGAGACTATTTTCAAATAGTATTTACAGGTTTGGTTCTTGAATTGATTTTATAGTCAGTAATTTGGGTAATTTGACATTTCTACAAATGTATCACAAACCGATGCATTTTGACTTTTTGTGTTATAGGACACAAATATCTACTTGGCTGGCACTGAGGAAGGTCATATTCACAAATGCTCCTGTTCATATAATGAACAATACCTAGATACCTATCGAGGACACAAGGTTAGTTTAATTGTAACAGGTGTGGAAATTTATATTTACTTTGTAATAATTTTTTTTAAAAAAGGGATTGTTGTGCAAAGTAGTTTTACTTACATTTTACCACACAATAAATTCACAATTTTGGAGTTAAACATGCCAACTTGAATTTAGTGCTGTATTGCTTGGTAACCATCGGTAATGTGTGATATATTTATTTCTAGATGTCTTAGATTAAGCTTTGCAAATTATGAAAATCATATTTAAAAATTTACAGCAAAGAATTGTATATGTTTATGATAACAAGTGCTCCCAAAGTAAGATGGTTTCTTGCAATAGCTTATTTTCTGACTCTTTAATATTTAAATTTTTTTTTCTCATTTCTGTTTTTTTCTCAAACTTTTATTTTTATGTTGGAACATTGTGTGACTGAAGCCCAAACATGAATAACTTTGTAACCGTGTATCTAATGGTGATTCAATTAAAAATTAAAATAAATTGAATCAGCATAATTTATACTTAGGGATTATTGTAACAGATACAATATTGATTTTTTGACATACTTTATGGATGACTTAATTTATAACCTACTCCTGGCTAAAACAAGTACCCAGCCATATACAGCACAGTAAACGGTACATAAATCTGCTAGAAATCTGAGCGTTTTTAGTCTGTTTGTCATGTTTAAAGTTGAAAATGTAAAGTGCTGTCTACCTATGAATTCTAATTATGTTTCTATTTCTAGGGTCCTGTGTATAAAATAACATGGAATCCATTTTGTAGTGATGTATTCCTGAGCTGTTCTGCAGACTGGGGTGTTATTCTCTGGCAACAGGAGAATCTCAAGCCATTTTTGAGTTTTTATCCTACTACGTACGTTGTTTATGATGTTGCTTGGTCCCCCAAATCGTCCTACATATTTGCAGCTGCAAATGAGAGTAGAGTGGAGGTTTGGGACCTTCGTGTGAGCACGTAAGTGCTAATATTTTTCTTTGGAAAACTTCTGGTGGAAGCTATTCAAACTAAATGAAACTTTAATAGTTTTGACATAGGTAGAAAAAACCAATGTCACTCTAAACAAGTATTAGTCTCTATGATAAAAGTCCCCTAAGAATCAAAACATATTCTAGGGCATCATAACAATGTTATTTACTTATGTCATACCTGGCTTAAAACATTTTGAAAAAAATAGGTTGCCTTAGACTTTTATAGGCAGACATAGAATATTGTCACTATGTTAATTTCTTTTTCATTGCCTGATTTATGTAAGAATGCAGTCAATAGAATTCTTTTTTTGGGGGGGGTCACATTTGGTGATGCTCAGGGTGTGTGCTATCAGGAATCACTCCTGGTGTGCGCCTAGGACTATGTGGGATGCACAGGTTGAACCTGAATGCCATTGCTCTAGTCCATCAGCTGAATTCTTAATTAAAAGTTTTCTATAACATCAAGAAGAAAGGGAATATAAATATATATGTATATAGGATATGTATTTATTACCTCAGTTTATTTTAAAATGAGACCTATTGTATTTACTGGGTCTTATTTTAAAATAAACTGAGGTAATAAATAAAATGAGGAATCAAAAGAGTTATGCTTGGAGTATCACGTTTCACTCAAATGAGAAAAAGAATCCAGAGTTCTGACCTCAGTCGATGGTCAAGAATCAGGGACACTGTCTCATTTGCCAAGGCGTCAAAAATCAGATGGGCTGGACACATAATGAGATTTGGAGACGACCACTGGACTAGAGTTGTTACCAAGTGGATTCCATGGGACGTCAAAAGACTGCGTGGCCGCCCACCTACAAGATGGTCAGGCTTCTTCGTCAAGACCCTGAATGATCGGTTTGAGGCTCTTAATGTTCCTAGAATGAACAGACACCATTGGGCCACACTAGCACACGACAGGGACAAATGGAGACGTTACTGGTGCCCGCTCGAGCAAATCGACGATTAATGGAAAGTCAAGTGATCAAGTGATTTTAAAATATATTCAGGGAACCTGAGGAGTGCTTAGGACATGCATGCTGGCAGTGTGAGACTGGTAAACCTATAGTTGTATTCCTGGTACCACCCCACACTCCATTACTGATTGTAATTCCAGTGTCTTTCTCTTCTTTCTCTTCTGCACAACAAAATATACAGTCTCCAGCATGTCACAACCAGTGCGTGGAGCACCCAGCTAAAGGCTGGGACTTCCAGTGCTACTGCAACTATGTGTGTAAGCCCAGGTCATTGTAGAAACAACAAAAAAGGGAAGAGAAAGGGAAAAAAGAAAATTTAGAAAGGGAGAAAAATAAAATTTAAAATGCTGAAATTAAAACAATGAATAGGGGCTGGAAAGATAGTACACTGGGTAGGGCACTTGGGTTGCACATGGCCAATGAGGATTTGATCCCTGGCACCCCTTATGGTTCCCTGAGTGCAGAGCCAAAAGCCTCTGAATACTGCTGGGTGTGGTCTCCCCAAAAGTAATGGCTGAGGGACTGGAGTGATAGCACAGCGGGTAGGATGTTTTCCTTGCACGCAGCTGATCCAGGTTCGATTCCCAGCATACCATATGGTCCTCTGACCACCACCAGCGGTAATTCCTGAGTGCAAAGCCAGGAGTCACCCCTGTGCATAGCCGGGTGTGACCGAAAAGAAGAAAAAAAAAAAGTAATGACTGAAAAAGCATATTCAAACATAATTAATGTCTTTGATTCAAGGGACAATACCATTTATTAGAATGGTTTATAATGGTTTACCATTATTATTGTTTTTTTTTAAATTTATTTATTGAATCGCTGTGGGAAAGGTTACAAAGCTTTCAGGTTTATGTCTCAGTCATGCAAATATCAAACACATTTCCCTTTACCAATACTTATTTTTTACCCTGAAGAACCCCAATAAAACCCCACCCCCCACCCCTCCCCGTCCCTGTGAGGCAGATGAATTCTAGTTAACACTCTATCTGCTTTGATTAGATTCATTGTTTCAATAAGATTCACCACTATTATTTAGAGTTTACCCCCCTCCCCCAAATCAGACATGCTGAAAAAGCATTGTGAAGTGATTTGCTTTCTACAGCTGGGTTCAAGAATTAAATGTTGGTTTTGGATTTCTGCTATTTTACCTATTGACCCTGGAAGTATTTCTACTGAAAGTCAGATAGTTAAGAAATTGATTTCTGTGTTCTGGAGTCGTGGCCGTGCTGGAGAGCCGCTCGCGGGGGGCAACCGGTGGCCTCGGTAGGGCGTGAAGGGCGGAGCGAAACGCCCCCCTTCCCATGAGGTTTTAGTCACCCCCACACTCCCGGCTCATACCTGCTGTCCACAAGGCTCCCATGTGGCCGCCATCTTTCTTTCCAGCGAGGAGAGGGCGAATGGGGCAACACCCTTTCCCCTCTGGCAGACTTGATGGCCTGGATCAATGCATAGTCCGTTCACTTTTCTGCTCTAAGCTGCTGGGTTCTGCATTAAGTCCTTGTGCTTCTGGGGCCGTGGCTGTGCTGGAGAGCCGCTCGTGGGGGGCAACTGGTGACCTCGGTAGGGCGTGAAGGACAGACCGGAACGCCCCCCTTCCCATGAGGTTTTAGTCGCCCCCACACTCCCGGCTCATACTTGGTGTCCACAAGGCTCCCATGTGGCCGCCATCTTTCTTTCCAGAGGGAGGAGGGCGGAAGGGAGCAATACCCTTTCCCCTCTGGGCAGAAATGATTGCCTGGATTAACGCATAGTCCTTTCACTTTTCTGCTCCAAGCTGCCGGGTTCTGCATTAAGCCCTTGTGCTTCTGGGGCTGTGGCCGTGCTGGAGAGCCGCTCGTGGGGGGCAACTGGTGACCTCGGTAGGGCGTGAAGGACGGACCGGAACGCCCCCCTTCCCATGAGGTTTTAGTCGCCCCCCACACCCCCGGCTCATACCTGCTGTCCACAAGGCTCCCATGCGGCTGCCATCCTTCTTTCCAGAGATGAGAGGGCGAATGGGGCAACACCCTTTCCCCTCTGGGCAGAGATGATGGCCTGGGTTAACTCATCGTCCGTTCACTTTTCTGCTCTAAGCTGCTTGGTTCTGCATTAAGTCCTTGTGTTTCTGGGGCTGTGGCCGTGCTCCAAACTTAACTCTGATTTTCAGGGAGAAAGATTGGGTGGTTTACTTCTCATTGATCACTTTGTATATAGAGAGATGTCGCGCGGCCGCATAAGCGGCCGCGCGGTTTTGAGAAAAAGTCCTCGTTCCCGCATACTCGAGCTGTGTTTTTAGAGGCTTCTGGTCACCGGGGTTCCATCTGGCGGAGGCGGGATGCGGAGCCTACTCCATCTGGAACTTGCCGGTGATCTCGGCTCTTTTTGGAACCTGTTTTTTCCTCCGGGATCCCGCACCCTCCATGTGTTCCTTCTCTTATGCTGAACGCTTCAAAGATGGCGCTGGGGGGCGGGCTGTGGGCGTGACTTCCGGAATCAGAGGTTACCTGGGAGGTGTAGTCCGGCAGATTTGAGAAAAAGTCCTCGTTCCCGCATACTCGAGCTGTGTTTGTAGAGGCTTCTGGTCACCGGGGTTCCATCTGGCGGAGGCGGGATGCGGAGCCTACTCCATCTGGAACTTGCCGGTGATCTCGGCTCTTTTTGGAACCTGTTTTTTCTTTTTTTTTTCCTCCGGGATCCCGCACCCTCCATGTGTTCCTTCTCTTATGCTGAACGCTTCAAAGATGGCGCTGGGGGGCGGGCTGTGGGCGTGACTTCCGGAATCAGAGGTTACCTGGGAGGTGTAGTCCGGCAGATTTGAGAAAAAGTCCTCGTTCCCGCATACTCGAGCTGTGTTTGTAGAGGCTTCTGGTCACCGGGGTTCCATCTGGGGGAGGCGGGATGCGGCACCTACTCCATCTGGAACTTGCCGGTGATCTCGGCTCTTTTTGGAACCTGTTTTTTCTTTTTTTTTTTCCTCCGGGATCCCGCACCCTCCATGTGTTCCTTCTCTTATCACCATTATTATTGTTACAAACAAATTATTCCAATGGTTTATTAGAACCAGTTTAAACCCATATATCCTTTTCAATATAGAAATTGATGCATTAGGGAATAAAATTTCTCATAACTCTACTTCAAGAGAAAAATATTGTAGATCTTTGTGCTAATACTTGTCAGAAGCACATTGTAAGGAAATACATTCCCGTTTATAATAGATGAAGTGAAATTCAGTGGGGGGGGGGGTGTGTGTGTGTGTGGTACTGCGATCAAACACCAGGGCCTCACTAGCAAGGCAAGTGTATCACTGACCTACATTTACAGCCCTCTGTGATTTTCTTCTTTTTGTTTGTTTATTTGGGGATTAACGTCATCTCTCCTTTACCTTATTTGGGGATTAGAACCAGCAGGGGTTGGGGGCTGCTTTTCGCAGTGCTATGGAGACCATGTAGTACCTAAAGATTAAACCCATACCACAAGAAAGCTAGTTCTCTTAATAATGGCTAAAGTTTTTCAAAAGGTTAAAAATTCAGTAATGTTTAGGTTTTTGTCATGATAGCGATAGCACAGCGGTAGGGCGTTTGCCTTGCATGCAGCCGGACCGGCTGAGCCCGGTTCGATTCCTCCGCCCCTCTCGGAGAGCCCGGCAAGCGACCGAGAGTATCTCGCCCGCATGGCAGAGCCTGGCAAGCTCCCCGTGACGTATTCGATATGCCAGACACAGTAACAACAAAGTCTCCAATGGAGACGTTACTGGGCCCGCTCGAGCAAATCGATGATCAATGGGAGGGCCTTTACTTTACTTTACTTTATTCTAAAAACAGTTTGCACCCTGAATCAGGGATTGTATCACCAAATAAAGCATCTTTGAGTATGAGAGCACTCACACATTTAACATTGTCAGTGTGACTACCTAAATGATCCCACCTCTGATTTAAATTTTTCTGGTACTCCTATAGTTACCAGGGCAACGTTTCTTCAGAACTATATAAGTTGCTGCTCTTCTAAGGGCATCAGTGTATTACTTTGCATGACCAAAAAAATATCATTAGCCTAATATTCCTTCATGTTTTAGGTTCCTTTGGATCAAAACAGTGTTCCACTCTTTTATGAAAAGACATTTATTGATTAGGAGATTGTATTAATCAGGGATTTCCAGAGAAACAGAATCAAGAGATAGGGAAAAAACTATGTATATGTGTATCTTCATTTACGCATTTGTGTATCTCTAAATCCATATCTATCTAGAGAAATTTTAAGCAGTTGACTCATGGTTGTGGGTTGGTCACGTTCCAAGAAGTCTGGACAACAGATTGAGATGAAGGCAGTTTGGAGAATATTATTTCACTTTTGGGAACTCGATATTTTCTCTTAAGACCTTCTGCAGATTGAATGAGACCTACTCATGTTAGAAAGCATATCTGCTTATATAATTCTACTTATTGAAATGTTAATCACATATTAAGAAAAATCAAACTACCTTCACAGCAACCTGTAATATGCGGTTTGACCAAATACTTGGTTATTTTGGCCTAACCAAGTTAATATTCACAATTTGTCATCATGAGAAGTTAAAATTTAGGACTTCACATTTCAAATGGGAATCGCTTTGATTTACATGGCTGAAACTGGTTCACAAAAGAAATGAAAATGTTAAGTGAATGAAGAGTGAGAATGAGAATCAGTTATTCTGAACTTAGAAATAGATAGAGAAACTTAAAAAAAAAGAAATCTCAAGACCCATCCCAGACTTGTCTTAGTGTCTCCATATAAAGAGATAGCTCTGTTGGCTAAGCATACCCTTGCATGCAAGAAGTCTTGAGTACAATCCAGGAACATCATGAGTATAGAGCCAAGAGTAGCCCCAGAGCACTACTGGGAGTGATCCCCAAACCCAAAAATAAAGCTTATAGAAAACAATCAAATTTACAAGTTAAATATTTCATTGCAGTTTGGACCCTCTTATTGTGTATCTTGCTAACCCTGGAATCAAGTTCACGACTGTGCTGTTTGCCAAGCATACAGACTGTCTTCTCGTGGGAGATAGTGATGGACAGGTGGCTGTGTATGAGCTAAGAAATATGCCTGTTATTTCGGATACTGGCCGGGTAAGATACTCAGGCAATTTTACTTTGCTTTATGATTCCTTAAGTTGGAATTTTGGAACCTGCAAAAAGGATTTACATCCCTTTAGTCTCTTGAGTCTAGCTGGATGGAAGAGTTCCCAAAGTCACTACTTACTGGGCATGTTAAATGGTGGATTTTTCCTTTTGTTTTCTTCCAGATTATATCCCCATGGTCTACTAGAATATCTGGCCTGTGAAAGTTTCCAACATATGTTTTTGGAATAGACATTGGAAAAATAGAGGAAAGTTTGAACATATTAGAAGCAGAGTTTTTTAAGGGTTGGGTCATGGGTTTTAGTTGATCATTTTTACATTATTGTTTTCTAAATCATGACACTGCATACAATAATTTTTCGAAATATCTTGGTCTCTGGGCTGGAGCGATAGCACAGTGGGTAGGGCGTTTGCTTTGCACGCGGAGGATCCGGCCAACCCTGGTTTGATTCCTCCGCCCCTCTCGGAGACCCCAGCAAACTACCGAGAGTATCTCGCCCGCATGGCAAAGCCTGGCAAGCTTCCTGGGACGTATTTGATATGCCCAAAACAGTAACAACAAATCGCACAATGGGCCTGCTCGAGCAAATCTATGAACAATGGGAGGACAGTGCAATGCTACATTGGTCTCTATATACTTTCATATACATTGAAGGATATTCCCTAAGAATTTAAGATTTTTTATTATATGTCATGTTTTATTTAGTTTCTTGAACATTTATTGAGTAAAAAATATTTTAACAGGTCTTAGGGGTACTTGTATCCTCAAAGACCCTGTTTCAGAGAGATAGCCAAAAGAGCCAGAAAGAAAATTCTATTTTCTATTCATATCTCTCAAAAAACATTAAAGCTGCATTCAGATATATAGTTTGTAATAATTATTTTTTTCTTCTGTCCATATATCTCAAATCTTAAATGCAGCTCCATTGCATATATCTATTGCATTTGTCTTGCAGACTCTGAATTTGGTAGAGAAGGGGGAGTTGGGTTGTTTCAAAAGTTTTTAAGTGTGTACTGGAAAAGTGGTAGAAGAGAAAACTATGAATGTGTGAGCATTTTTATAATATATATTGTCACCATATTTATATAAATAACACAGAATAGACATTTTATATGTCTATTATACAAATATATAATATATAAAAGTATATATAAATCTTTATAAATACATAGTTATATCTTATTTGAATAATACAAATTATTAAACACAAACCTTGAAGCTGAATTCTTTATCCTTAATTGTGAGTTTTGAGGCCACACCTGGTAATTCCCAGCTCTATCCCCTGGGGTCTCTTCCAGCCATCCTTGGGGTCGGTGTGCCAGATAATGAACCTGGGTCACCGCGTGCAAGGCAGGTGGCCTGTTTTTGGTTTTTTTTTTAAATTTTTATTAGTGAAACACCAAGAAGTGCAGTTGTAGACTTACAAATTTTTGTGCTTAGGTTTCAGTTATACAATGATCCAGTACCCATCCCTCCACCAGTGCCCATTCTCCACCACCACTGATCCCAGTATCCCTCCCACCCCCAACCCCCCATCCCACCCTGCCTCTGTGGCAGGGCATTCCCTTTTGTTCTCTCTCTCCTTTTGGGTGCTGTGGTTTGCAAAAGAGGCAGTGAGTGGCAATCATGTTCGGTCTATAGTCTACTCTCAGTACGCATCTTCCATCCTGGGAGGATCCTCCCAACACCCTTTATTTGGTGCTCCCTTCTCTATCTGAGCTGCCTTTTCCCCTAGCATGTGTGGCTAGCCTCCAAGCCATGTTAACTACCTCTTTGGCAGACCCAGTATTTTTTAAAAACTCACTCAGTTTGTCTTCATTTTTTTAATATATTAACATTTTACTGAGAAACAGGAAATGAATACAAATGGTTACCTATGGGATAAATGCTGGGTAAACCAATGGATAAGGGTGAGAGCAAATGTTTTGGTGTCTGTCTCGTAGGATAGTTTTGATTTTGTGAACCATGAAACTATGCTAATTATTCAAGTATGGTAAAAAGGTAAAGGCAAAGGCCCTCCCGTTGATCTTCGATTTGCTCGAGCGGGCCCAGTAACGTCTCCATTGGAGACCTTGTTGTTACTGTGTCTGGCATATCGAATACTCTCGGTAGCTTGCCGGGCTCTCCGAGAGGGGCGGAGGAATCGAACTCGGGGCGGCCATGTTGGCCGCTTGTAAGGCGAACACCCTACCCGCTGTGCTATCGCTCCAGTATGGTAAAATTATATAAAGTTGTTGATCAAACTTCATTAGAAGAGTCATTAGGAAGAATAGAGAAGTTTGTATTTTATCCTAGAAAGTGACTGCCTTTACTTAAAATTACCTCATTTTGTTTCCTTTTTACAATTTAATTGAATGCCCTTTTTAAGTGTATCACTAACATAAATTTAAAAGGCATTTTAAATGTGACTTTTTCTCTTTGTATTTTATTGTAATTATGTGACATTTTTCTTTCAGGGGGATGCAATAGACACTTTGCTTGGTTCCAATTCAGACCTAAAAGGATAATACATCATTACTGATATATTTAAAGAAAGAACAATGGTGCTTTGTATATAATAATCTGATTTGCATGCAGTAAGTTGGGATTTTGATTTTAGAAAACAATATCATATATTTACATTCTTTTAGTTTTGATGTCAATTTTAAAAGCTTTTATTTCAGAGATATGAGAGCAGTTTTTTGATCTAAGGTAATTATAGTTTTTCTGTGATTTTCCTAATTAGATGTTCCTCCTTTATTTCTCAGTTGTGTTCCAAGTATACCGAATACATTTATATACTTATAAATACCCAAAAAGGTAAAAATAATTCTTCTTTTAGAAAAATGCTTTAAAATGACCAGAATTACCTAACTCCAAATCTGTATAATAATTCTATAGGATTAAAAAATTTTTTTCTTTCCAAGTCTTATGAATTACACAACTTTTAGTATTATAAAACTATTGGATTCTCATATTCAACTTTAAATCAGAATTTTGCTTGCTTTTAGATTTGAGATTTGAGAGATGAAACAATAGAGCTTTGTTAGACTGTTTGACCAGCAAAAGATTTGTGAGCCAATGTTGGAATTTGCATTGTTTGACCAGCAAACAGCGAGTCCCAGTTCGGTGAGAAGTGTTAGCATCAGTGCGCCCTTCTCTGTCTGCCTAGAATCTGCTCTGGGCTCTCAGCCCAGACTTGAGTGGGCTCAGAGAGAAACTAGAAAGTCTCTGATTGACAGTTTGCCACAAGACATTATTTTATGAAAAGTTGTAGCTAGCTTGTAGAAATAGGAGTGGGAGGTAGAATCTCTTCCAAATATAGGTTATAGCAGTCTAATTCATATCTTTTGTTCTATAAATCCTGAATTTTGTAAAACAAGACATGGGAAGAGTTTAGAAAGCATTCTAAGAGAAAGGGAAAGAATAACTCACTAAAACTCTGAAAAAATATTAAAGCCAAGAATATAATTTGCAATAAGAGCTATCTTTTATAAATTTACATTTCTTCGTATTCTCCATTTCTGTAAGTTTCATGTCATTAAAAAAAGTCAGGTAATTTTTGAAAATGGGAGCATAGGTCCAGCTATTAACAATTAATTATACATTTTATTCCAGAATATCATTAAAATTCTTTCTTTTTGCTTTTCTGAAAGGTTGGATTTCCCATGAACTGTAATAAAATAGCAAGTTAGTTGACAAAACAAGTCTCTTTGTGTTGATCTTTAAAACATTTTCACATGCACATTTTCACATGTTTTATTCTCAATGTTCTTTCAATTTAATTGAGAAACAATGCTATTTTTCCTTGGTTTTCTGATTCTGAACACTGAGCTCCTATTTTACATATTTTTTTTACCCTTAAAAAAATCCTTCTGGGGCCAGCATGAAAGTAGAGCAGGTAGGGTATTTGCCATGCATATGATGGACTGGGTTTGATCCCCAGCAGGAGTGATCTCTGAGTGTGTATACATATGTGTGTGTGTGTGAGAGAGAAAGAGAGAGAGAGAGAGAGAGAGAGAGAGAGAGAGAGAGAGAGAGAGAGAGAGAAGGAGAGGTAGGGATTAGGAGGAGGGAGGGAGGGAGGGAGAGAAGAGAGAGAAAGAGAGAGACAGAGAGAGAGGGAGAGGGAGGGAGGGAGGGAGGGAGGGAGAGAAGAAAGAGAAAGAGACAGAGACAGAGACAGAGACAGAATATGAGAATATTCCAGCTGAGTGGAATGAGGACATGGAATCAGAGATTACAGAAAATAAATTTCTTGAATACCTAAGTGCTAAATATTGGTGTGTTTTCATTTACTTAATGTCTGTTCCTCTACACCAGATTTTCACAATTGGGGGCCATAGCGCCTCCCCATATGGACTCCCAGGATGAATTGAGGAACTAGGGTGCTGACCCTTAAGACAGGGAACTACAAATAACAGAAGATCTGAAAGCCATAATATGAAAACTGATTTCTAAAGAAACTGCTTTAGACCATGAGCAGCTTGTGTGCAGTTACTTGGTGTTTTTCTCAACACTGTGCCTCCAATACCTAGAGCAGTATTTCCAAAGCAGAATGATTGGAACAACTCTTTGTAGAATGAGTAACAACTATTTGTAGAATGAGCAACATTAATGAAATAATTGGTAGTTTCATGTCTGTCCCATATTTTAACATGATATAATACTTTTTGCTTGAGCGGGCCCAGTAACATCTCCATTGGAGATTTTGTTGTTACTGTGTTTGGCATATCGAATACATCATGGGTGGCTTGCCAGGCTCTGCCGTGCGGGCGAGATACTCTTGGTAGCTTGCCGGACTCTCCGAGAGGGCGGAGGAATCGAACTCGGGTCAGCCTTGTAAGGCAAATGCCCTACCGCTGTGCTATCGCTCTAGCCCTTTGAATATTATTTCTTCAATATCCTAATAAATTAGCATCATGGGACTAAAACACTTTGAGAGTGGAAAACATATAAAATCCACCTTGGAAGATGTTAAGCATTAGGTCATAACTTTCTTTGTTTTGTGACAATATAAAATCAAGCTTTCCTCCTGAGAGCAAAAACTTTTCTTAGGGGCCTTAGTGGCTTGTGAGATTGTGCTGACACTGTTTAAGGCACAGCAGACTTCTGATGTAAGGCACTATAAATGCCTAGTACAAGAAGTGTGCTCAAAAAAGATAGTGCAAGCCATAGACATAGAACAGAGGGTACACATGGCCAACCTAGGCTCCCTTCCCAGAGCCACATGTGGCTTCCGGCCATTTCCTGAGTGCAGAGCCTGGAGTAAGACCTGAGCACAGCTGGGTGTGGCCCTAAAACAAAACAAAACAAAACAAAAAAAGCATAATGCTCATTAGGGTGATTCTAGACCCTACCTTTGGTTTGAGAACTTCTTTGCCCCTTACTCATGGAAAGGTCTTTACTAAGGCCCTTCTCTTCCCTGGGAGAGATTGATTGTACTAATGACCTCATTTGCTGCTTTATACAACTGTGAACTTTGTGTCTTATTTGGGACTTAGTACTACATTCTATCCCACCCTCAACTCTGTACAGTACTTACAACATTATTAGCCTTCATTTGCTTAGGTTGGCACACTTGGTTGATAAAACTAAAAGGCGAACAGTTTACTTGAAATTAATTCCTTGCTTAAACAGAAAACAGAACATGTCCATTAAGTTGGAACACAGGAAACATAGCTATGAATCTTTAAAAAAGGAGCACTGCTTTTCCTAAATTGGTTAGAGATTCATGTCATTTTCAAATCAACTTGTGGAAAATGAACTCTTGCCAGAATAGCATTTTCTCTGGATAAGTCAACTAGTAAAACACATGGTGCCATCAGCCCAGGAAGAATAAAGGATTTCAGATTCTTGAGGAAGCATAATTCACTGAGAGTGATTTCACTCAGTTTTCCAAACGATTGCACATATTTTGATTATTTTTTTTTCTTTTGCACTTTTGGACCACACCTGGCAGTGCTCAGATTTTACTCCTAGCTCTGTGTTCAGGGCTCACTCCCGACCATGCTCACAGAAAGGTGAGAGGAGTGGGCTGAGAATTCCAGCAGTAGAAATTATGTGATCCATATGTTTAAGGTGGGATGGAACTGAAGGAGTTTCAGGAATAGGTTATGGACTTCACTGCATTTCTTCATGCATCAATTCATGAAACTTAGAAGATGAAAAAATTCTTTAATGGTGTATTAAAATATGAAGTATCATTTGTTTAAGAGTTTTAAAAATTGTTGGTTACATTTTACAATAAAAATTTAAAAATGGAAAACATAGAATATTGAAGCTATGTGATCACAATAAATTAATGTTGGTTTTCATGTTTTGTATGCTAGTATCATAAAATGCTATAATCCTACCCCTACCACTTTAATAGGCGTTAATACATCACAGTTGCGAGGTATTAACAGAAAGAGGGCTTGATTTCAAGAGAGTAAGCACAATTGGTGAAATTCACATTAATTTATCAATGTTTGGATTAGGAAACCAACATGCATAAGATATTTGGATTATCTTTGAAACTGGAATTTGAAACTCTCAGTACTTCTGATATTACATTTATTTAATCTCCCAGAAAATTCCAGAGCATTTTCTCCAAACATTATTTGGTTAGTTATGGGCCTACCAAACAGCACTTTTTTTTTTTTATCTAAGTTCTCCTGGTCCTTGACAATGTGCTGCAATTCTGAGAAGTTTATCTGAACAATTTAACATGAAAGGGGCTCAAACATGTACTTGGGGAATAGCAATGATGAACGCTGTGGTATGAGTCTCTTCTCAAAGTTTGACCAGTTGAAAATTTTCAGTGCTCTGCAAATCTAGAAGAAAAATGCCGTAGTGATTTTCCTTAGAACAAACACACACAAACAACCAAACCGAAACTCTAAACATCTTTAAAACAGCAGAAAATGCTCATGGTAGGAAAACTATGAGTAAGCATAACAGGGCCACACAGAGAGAAAATGAGAGAGAGAGAGAGAGAGAGAGAGAGAGAGAGAGAGAGAGAGAGAGAGAGAGAGAGAGAGAAAGCGCTGTATGGGCTGAGCACATACTTTACATGCAGGAGGCCTGGGTTCCAACCCTGACACTATGTGGTCCCTTGAACACCCCTGGATCTACCTCTGGGCATTGAGCTGGGAATAGTCCCACTGGGTATGACTCCAAAACAAACCGCATAAAAAAGAACATTTAAATAAAACTAGAACTTCATTATCCCAAAAGAACTGTCTGCTCATGTCTGCTTATTACTCTGAAAATATAAATATCAAGTCATGGTAAAATGTAGGAACTGAAACAAAGACTTTTCTCCAAGGAGCTTTGAGGGCAGGATAAATGTTTCTCAGCATCTTGCAGTCCTTCATCTCTTACTTGAGAAGGGCTGAAGCATCCAGGAGGGCCCCCAAGACCCTGATACCCCAAAAATGTTTGAGTGAAAAACCATCTCAGCCTACCGACGACTGAGAGAAAAGACTTTCTTATTCTGCAGGTTGAAAAACAAAGACTTAGATGACCAGTCATTGAGAAGTGATGA